GGGCTGGCCAGGGAGTGTGATAAAAGTGGGAGATCGGGGTGCCTGCGGGGCTCAGTCGGTTAAGCGTCCACTCTTGATCGTGGCTCAGGTCATGATCTCATGGTGCTGTGATCGAGCCCCACGTCGGGCTCTGCGCTGAGCTTGTGGAGCCCGCTCGGCATATTCTGTCTCTCTCCCCTCTCTCTGCCCCTCCCCTGCTCCCTCCCTTTCTCTCAAAAGTAAATATAAAAAAAATTTTTTTTAAAGAAAAAGAAAACACGTAGCTTGAGTTAAAACATGGCTTTCAATCTACCATCTATCTGGCCTTGACTGACTTGTGCTGTACGATGAGCTAGCAAAGTAGAAGTCTATGTGTCAAAGTCCTTTGATCCATGATCATAGCTTAGTTAGTTATTCAGTTATATTATTCTATTTATTTTATTGATTGATTGATGATTGATGAGTTCCATGCCCAATGTGGGCCTTGAACTCATGACCCTGAGAACAGAGTTTCACACTCTATTGACCAGGCCACCCAGGCTCCCTCCATGATCAGATCTTTTAAAAATATTTATATTCTCTTTAAAAATTAAGGCGAAATCTATGTAACATAAAATTAACCATTTTTTAAAAAAATGTTTATTGTTTTGAGAGAGAATGAGCAGGGGAGGGGCAGAGAGGGAGAGAGAATCCCAAGCAGGTTCCATGCTGTCAGTGAAGAGCCAGATGCAGGGTTTGAACTCAAAAGCTGTGGGATCATGACCTTAACTGAAATCAACAGTCAGACACTTAACCAACTGAGCCACCCAGGTGCCCGGAAATTAACCATTTTAGAATGAATAGTTCAGCCAGTGTTATACAGCCATCTTTTCTGTCTAGTTCCAAGGCATTTGTGCTACCCCGGAAGGAGACCTGTACCCATTAAGCAGTCACTTCCTGGTCCCCTCCCTTCCTCCCAGCTTCTGACAACCACTGGCCTGCTTTCTGTCTCTATGCATTTACCTATTCTGAACATTTTACGTAAGTGAAATTGTACAACAGGTGATGATCTGTGTCTGACTTATTTCCCCAAGGTCAAATTTTCTCTAGTGATTTTAAGATTCAGATTATCATCTGTGTTAAACTATAGGCAGTACTCTTGTGTGACAATATTCTGGTGAAATCTTTCATTTGTTTTCAAATTTGTGATAATATACCTAGTATCACAGCCAGTTCACTAATCTTCCTTTATCATAAATTATAGTATTACTTTTCCTTTTGATTTGGGGCATCGCAGTTTTACTCACTGATGCACTCTGATAACTTTCCCCCTTTGTTAGAATTGTTCCTCTTTCGAACACTTGACCAGGGTATATTTCTGAACATGGAAACACCATTGGAAAATCTGAAACCGTGATTTTACTCCTCACTCCTTGGGAGGTTTACTGTTCTTTCACTAGCAGATATGAAGTGTGCTGGACTTGAGAAATCACGGTCATGTTTGCTAACCGTGAACAAATGACTTTGGGCCCAGAAGTAGTCTAAGCCCAGGCTCCTTAGTAGCCAGTAATGTCAGGAGGTGATATGCAGTATGAACATGATCTGAGTAGAATGAGCTGGAAAAGGTTGCCTGTAAGTGTGTGTGCGTGAGAAGACTGGGTACAAGTATATTGAGAAGTTAAAGTGGTTTTTTATTTATTTGTTTATTTATTTATTTTTATTTTTGAGAATGAGAGAGAGAACGAGTTGGGGAGGGGCAGAGAAAGAGGGAAATAGGATCCGAAGCAGGATCATGACATGAGCCGCAGTTGGACACCAACCGACTGAGCCACCCAGGCGCCCCGAGAAGTTTAAATTTAAAAGAACATCTTGCTATATCTGATTATTCTGGTTCATTTTTCCAAAAATAATAGTTCACAAATGTCACTAGCATTGCCGTTATAATGTGATCCATATCTGAATGTGTGGAAAGCTTTTTTCCACCTTGGGAAAGTTGGGTCAACTTACATTGGGGGCCCTTTGATATCATCAGTGTACGTGTGAAGCACTGCATTGTTTTTGGTATGTGACTCTGTGCCCCGTAAGCTGTACAGACTTAAGGCACACATATGGCGAATGGAGGATGTAGTGAAAAGTAAAAGCAGGAGCACATTTTCAGGGTGCCGTGAGCTGCAGCCACGGAGGCCGTCCCGTGACTGGGCTCGCTGCCCCGAGACGCGCCTCACCCTCTTCTGCAGTGCTGTGGATGCGTTAGCCTGGGAGCCAGTGCGGGCCCGGGAAGTCAGGGGTGCGAAGTGTGTGATGTTGTAAAGGTCAGCCACAGTTGGGGTGTCTTATTGCCTGACAGCAGATCCCACCGTCCCTTTCCTGCCTTGCTGACTCAGTTTACTTGCACTGAGTGATTTTTCAGCAGGGGCTCTTTGACGAAGGCAAGTTGGTACTCGCCTAACTTGGAAAAGCCTAGTGGGATTTGTCTGAGTGTCAGACCGGAGTGATGGCAGTTGTCTGTTTCATGGCACTTGGGGCGGGGCGGGGTGGGGGGGGAGGGTCTGATGAGTCAGCACACGAGGGCTTGTTAGAAATCAGGCGGAGGTAATGTGGCCCCATCTCCAGCTGCCTGTGGATGCGTGAGCCTTTATGTCCAGTCTGGCCCACGTTTGATACTCAGTCACGCTGGCTGATAGGGTTGAGTTTGTTCTCGTGCATGTTCGGGGGTAGAGACTCACACGTTGAGTATCTGCTTGGTGCCAGGAGTTATTTAATAGACACCGGACAAATGTATTCCCTTGTTTATTCCTGTCAGGTGGGTGGCATGTCCTGTCCCTAATTCCAATGAAATAACTGCATCACACAGCTTCAGGTGACAAGCCAGCACAGGAAGCTGGGGTCGGCTCAGTGCTCGCCTCTCTGTCCCCTCCAGCGCTCGGGGGGCATAAGGATGTGATTCCCTTAGCACTGCCTGGCTTTCTCTCAAAATGGAGCAATTTGTCCTTTACCCTACCCATAAACTTTTCTTTGAAATGGGAAATGAAGAAAGGTCAATCTGTATTATATCTGAAGTATAATTCTTGTTCCCTTCAAATGATTTTTTTTTCTTATTTTCTGTTAATATGTTGCTAATCACGTAGGCTGGGGTCCCCGTAGACCTTTCACTCTTCCTCCTTCTGTTAGATGAAGCCTCTGTTATCTTTGCACTCACCCCTCCTCCCCAGTCGTACTCTCACTTGTTCACGTGACGTGCTTTCCTGAGGTGGTGGTGGTGGTCCTCCTGGCAGGGGTGTTCTTTCCCTCCCTTATCATCTCTTTGCTACCCTGATCTTCCCAGGTGACACTCAGCATGTCACTTCCTCCTCGGAAAAGGTTGGTTGCCCTTTACCTTTCAGGAACAGGAAATTACTTCCTTAAACACTTCATGTTACTGAAGATTGGGCCCAAAACTTTTTTTTTTTTAATTTTTTTAATGTTTTATTTATTTCCGAGAGAGAGAGAGACATTGTGAGCAGGGGAGAGTCAGAGAGAGAGGGAGACACAGAATCTGAAGCAGGCTCCAGGCTCTGAGCTAGCTGTCAGCACAGAGCCCGATGTGGGGCTCGAACCCACGGACCGTGAGATCATGACCTGAGCCGAAGTCGGATGCTTAGTCGACTGAGCCACCCAGGCGCCCCGGGCCCGAAATTTTCTTGGCTTATAGGTGTTCTGGCGGTGATTTTAACTATGAGCTTTGCAGTTTATGAACACCTTACTCTTTATTGATTGGTGTGCAGAATTCGGGTGGCTTCAAATTCTCTGATACCTTTGGTATCTTGGAGATTTTTTGAAGCAAGGGCACTTTGATACTAGGGTATCATTTAGATATAAAAAATAAACTTACAGATTTGGGTGTCAGTGTAGATTTCTCCTCCACCTCTTCCGCTGATGTCATAAGTAGATTTGTAGTGTGACAGCTGTAGAAACGGGATTGTGGTTTGATCTCAGAATTCTAATACAGGACAAAACTGGCATTGTAATCACCTTTTCTGAGGCGTTGTAAGGGATCATTTGCATTTCAAGGACTTTATGTTACTGTCCTTTTTATTTTATTGATATCAAATAGAATTGATTCAAAGACCTTGAGGAGAACACAGGTGATTATAGAATCTTAAATAGAGCTAATCATAGACTTCTTGGGCTGCAGCTTCCAGGAGAGTCTAGAGAAATAATGGATATTGGTTAGGCAAAATCTGATTAATTTGATCAGCACTGGGTTGCACATTGCTTTTATAATACCTTTGAAGGAAAAGTTGTATGAAACAAATTGAGAGAATAATTACGCCTTTAAGAATATGTTTCAGTTAATGAAAATGTTTTTAAATTGTCCACAATCAGATTTTTATTTTATTTTATTCTATTTATTTTTAAAAATTTTTTAATGTTTTATTTATTTTGAGAGAGAGAGAGAGAGACAGCGTGAGCAGGGGAGGGTCAGAGAGAGAGGGAGGTACAGAATCCGAAACAGGCTCCAGGCTCTGAGCTGGCTGTCAGCACAGAGCCCGACATGGGGCTCAAACCCACAAATCGTGAGATCATGACCTGAGCTGAAGTCAGACGCTTAACCTACTGAGCCACCCAGGCACCCCAATCAGTAGAAAAAGATTATTTATTTATTACTATTTGTTGTTTTATTTTTGTGAGAGAGACAGAGACAGAGACAGAGCACCAGCGGGGGAGGAGCAGAGAAAGAGGGAGACGCAGAATTCAAAGCAGACTCCAGGCTCTGAGCTGTCAGCACAGAGCCCGACGTGGGGCTCAAACTCATGAACGATGAGATCATGACCTGAGCTGATGTGATGTTGGCCGCTTAACAGACTGAGCCACCCAGGTGCCCCTTAAAGATTTTTTTTAAAAAGAGACTTCTAGTTTGAACACCTGAGATGGTGGCTGTTGGTTTACGTTATTGAGGTTTTTGTTGGGAACTGAAATTCTGTTTTTACTGTGTCTTGAAAGATAAACACAAATGGATGCATAGGGCTTAATTTTTAATAGAACTTGTTTCTATTAAACAGCACCCGCGGAACCTTTTCAAGAGGAACAGTCGTTGCTATGTGAAGGTAATTTTCTACGCTCGAGGCTTTGAATGTTTAACTGAGAAAACGTTAAGTTGTCTATGATGTGTACAATTGTTTTGTAAATGTGTTATATCTCAATTTCTTGTCTAGGTTCAAATTCAGCTGTTAGCATGGAACTTTCAGAACCTGTTGGTAAGAAAATTTTTGACTGTATTAATACAGCAATATGAAACCCTCTCACTCTCAAGATAGAAAGTACAAATGTAAGCGTTAGGGTTATTGCAATGCCTCCATTTAAACCTGACATTGAGTCTCTGCTGTTGGGATTTAGAGAGCCGGGCTAGCTGGACGGCAGCTGCCTGCAGACAGGCGCCTAAGAGCGGAGGGCAAGAGCGCACAAGTCAGGTTAAGGACTTGGGCTTGTTGCATTTCCTTTGTGAAGTTTCCTTCCCTTATGTAACTTTCTTACTGTTAAGGGTGTCCTGTTCCCAAGGAGATCAACCAAGTTGATGCTAAAGTTCTTGTGGAGGAAAAGGCAGAGCCCTCGTAAATCCTGTGTTCTGATTTTAAACTCTACTCCTTGCCCTCTGTCAGGGTCCTCTGACCCTGGGATGACATCTCCAGTTTGTGTCTTGTGTGTCCTTATTGAAATGAAGCTTCGTGAAGATCGCAGTCGCTCGTAGTCTCTGATGTCAGCTTTGGTGTCAGCAGTGGGACCAGGCTTGAAAGCCGTCATCCCTTTCTTTTGTGAAAGATTTCCTTCCTTACGTTTCACTAGGAATTAGGAAATGGAACTAAATATGCAAAGATCCTTTAGCTGTTTGAAGACATCTGTGTTTTAGAGTACAGGCTGTATGTCTTTTTCAGAGTACTAAGTTAACTGTCTCATTTCAGTAGAAAATGGGGAGACAGAGATGTCCCCAGAAGAATCATGGGAGCACAAAGAAGAAATCAGCGAAGCGGAGCCGGGGGATGGTTCCTTGGGAGATGGAAGACCCCCAGAGGAGACCACCCAAGAAATGATGGAGGAAGAGGAGGAAATACCCAAACCTAAATCTGTGGTTGCGCCCCCAGGGGCTCCCAAAAAAGAGCATGTGAACGTCGTGTTCATTGGGCACGTAGGTAAGTTGCCCTCGTAGCAGTGAAAGAAATGACTGGCCATTGGGTGCATCCAACAGCTACTTGGAGATGCTTAGTGAATCTGAACTGAGTTCATCTGAAACAGTTTTTAGTTTTAACTCATTAGGGTTTTGCTTTTTTTTTTAGCTGGCAACAAACTGCCGGCACTTTGTTTTTGAAGGTTGGGCAGAGAAATAATGTTGTAATTATGGAAGCAGGACGAAAATCAGCCTCCGTATATTTGTGTGTGATTCACACTGATGGCGGCCAAGTGTGCTGTGACACTTACACATTACTATACCCCAGAAAACTTGCTTACGGGTTTGGGCAACTTCGGTTAGTTTGTTTATTTTATGGGCTTCATCTAACCTCGATAGTTTAATTTTGTCTGACTAGGAAATTAATTTGAAGTGACTTCGAGATGCTTGTCAGGTTGCTGGTTTAGCACAAAACGAAACCCTGTTTAATTGGCTCAGACATTTCCTGACCGTCTGACTTGATCCCTCGAATTGTGAGAAAACACAGAACTATGTGTTTTTTGTTTCCCTTTATTTTTGCTTCCTCCTGAATATAATGCTACCCCATGCTATTTTCGTAGCAAGAACTCCTCTGAAATTTGTAAAGGAACACCTGTATTTGCTAAAATAAGCAAAAGGCAGGCTACCGAAATGTAGTGCACAACTCCTTGGCTACTTCTGCTCTCTCCTGAGGGTCCCTTGGGTAATTTATATTCTGTTGCTGCTGTGCTCTGAGCTGAAGGTCATAGAGCAGCCTGTTCAAATTCTTCTTTATCAGTAAAGTCGTTATACATTCTTTACCAGCAGTACATCGTTGTTGAGCTGGGAGGGGTCTTAGCTTCATTCGCAACTGAGATTATGTACATAGATGTGCTAAGTGGTACCCTTAGTTGTGTTAGTGTATATAGTAGGCTTCGTTTTATTTTATTTTTTTTTACACCGTGGTTTGCATATTATTCATGATATTGTTACTTTCAGATGCTGGCAAGTCCACCATTGGAGGACAGATAATGTAAGTCTACATTTGTTGTTAAATAATAGGGTTAACTTGATTGAAGGAATTTTGGGCATTGCGAACATACCAGTCAAGTGAGGGAGATCAAACAGGCCACCTGAAAAAGTTCGAAAGACATTACCTGTAAGGAAAGCTAATGTTAATTAAGATGAAATTTCTGCAATGTGATCATTGTTAGTATTTTCTACATTTTTTAAAATGTTTATATTTGAGATAGGCATATAAATATAAATAAATTTATATTTATATATGCTTGAGCAGGGGAGGGGCAGAGAGACGGAGACAGAATCTGAAGCAGGCTCCAGGTTCTGAGCTGCGAGCTGTCAGCACAGAGCCCCACACAGGACCCGAACCCACGAGCAGCAAGATCAAGACCTGAGCTGAAGTCAGACACTTAACTGACTGAGCCACTCAGGCGCCCCATTGTTAGGGATTTTAGGCCTTCCCTAGAATTCTTTTGTTATCACTGTCAGATTCTCATGGAACTTTAACTAAACGTATTTCTGAAAGCTGCGTTTTAGATTTTTTTAAAAATCAAAACTAAAATATACTCCTGGATTATAGGAAATCTTAGTTTGCTTTGAATATAATTTTCTTGGGAATAATCAAAACCAGCAATTGAATCTGGTATGTGGGGGGAACCCGTTTTTCCCATCAGCTCTTAAATCCAACGTGCATCACTCAGACATGTGTTCTGGGTAACATGCTAAGGTAACTTGTTATATATAGAAGCTATGTAAGGATGAGTGCACTGTGCTTGACCTTCACAATATATTCTAGTATCAACAGTTTTCTAAAGTTTATTTTGAGAGAGAGTGAGTGAGCATGAGTCGGGAGGGGCCAGACAGAAGGAGAGAGAGAATCCCAAGAAGGTTCTGTGCTGTCAGTGCTGAGCCTGACCTGGGGCTCTCTCTTACGAACCAGGGTATCATGACTGGGGCCGAAACCAAGAGTCAGACACTTAACTGATTGAGGCACCCAGGCACCCCTGAAAACATTTTTTTTTATTAAAAGGTCTTACAGTTTTGGGGGACCTGGCTGGTTCTGTTCGTGGAGCATGTGACTCCTTTTTTCTTTTCTTTTTCTTCCTTTTTGTTTTTAAATTTCTTAAGAGCATTCAACTCTTGCTCTCAGGGTCTGGAGATCGAGATTATTATTATCTTTTTAATCCCTTCTAAATTAGACCCCTTTTCTTTAAACTGTACCATCCATCAGAGGATCTTGGGGGCATATCTTCACTGTTAAGTAATCGTGTTGGTAGTCTTAGCCAACTACCAAAAATTTCTGCAGCAGACCTTGGAATAGGGTATTCAATAGAGATCCTTAAGGCTATCAGTAGATGGAAGTGTTGGGCCCATTTGATTTTGTGTTTTTGTTTTTAAAAATTTTTTTTAACGTTTATTTATTTTTGAAAGAGAGACAGAACATGAGCGGGGCGTGGGGGGCAGAGAGAGAGGGAGACACAGAACCTGAAGCAGGCTCCAGGCTCCAAGCTATCAGCACAGAGCCCCATGCGCGGCTCTAACTCACAAACTGCAGGATCATGACCGGAGCCGAAATTGTCCGCTTAGCCAACTGAGCCACCCAGGCACCCCTGATTTTGTGTTTTAGGAGAATGTATATTTTTTGCTTATGGGCTATCATTTTCACGGATAGGATTCTGTGCTCAACTGGTTAGGAGCGTGCACCATAGATGACTGCAGAGGACACAGAGATGAGAGAGCTCGAACAAGAAGCCTTGTTTGGATTGGGTCAAGGGAAGCAGTCCAGTGTTACTAAGGAATCGCTTAAAAATTATAATCTTACTTTGACAATATTAAGTATTAAATATTGACGTGGTTAATAAGACTGAACTGCCTGAGCAACACTGTTGGAATTATTTTCCTTTATGTAGTATTTCTGTTTGCCCTTTAGAAATTTATTCGGAAATAATTTTAGACTTAAAGAAAGGTTACAGGAACAGCATCGAGTTCCCATACCCCTTTCCTGCCGCCTACCCTATAGCGTTACCGTGTTCAGTAACCATAGTACAGTCATTAAACTGGGATGTTCACATTGGTTCAGTACTATAAACCGTGGCTCTTGAATTTTACCAGTTTCTCCACACGTGGCGTTTTTTGGTTCTAGAATTCTGCGCTGCATTTAGATGTCCCATCCTCCGGTTTTCCATCTTGGTCTTCTCCAGCTTGTGACATTGCCTCATTCTGGTCTTCCCTGACTTCCTCATTTGAAGGGTGCTACTTACGACCTTCTTCAGTTTGGGTTCAACTGATACTTTTTCACCTTTAGATCGCGGCTATGTATTTGGGCAAGACTATCACACGAGGATGTGTGTTTGCTCTTTTAAGAGCATCCTGTCCGGGGTACCTCATGTCAGTGTTCAATGGGTTTTCTTTTTTTTTTTTTTATTTTATTTATTTTTTGTTTTGCTTTTGTTTATTTTAGAGAGAGCATGAGCAGGGGGCGGGGGAAGGGCAGAGAGAGGGAGAAAATCCCAAGCGTACTCCTTCCTCAGTGTGGAGCCTGATGTGGGGCTGGATCCCACATCCCTGGGATTATGACCTGAGTGGAAAACACGAGGGGGACACTTAACCGACTGAGCCACCCAGGCACCTGTCAGTGTGTTTTCTTTACTACTGGTGGTATCAGCCAGGATTACAGGCTCTCGTGCTGTCTGTCTGGATTCTCTGCTGTGAAGTTATTATTTTTCCCCTTTATCTGTGGGGAGATAACTTGAGACTCTGTAAATACCTTTTCCTCTGAAACGTTCCAGGAGTTGAGCATCCATCAGTGGCTCCTTTATTTTAAAATAGCTGTTTTCTGGAGTCAAAATTCCCCTAAAGAGCTTCAGAGTTTCCCTAAAGTGCACCGAGTAGTTGGTGAGTGGTGAAGTGTTTACTTCTTGTTTCTCTGATTTCAGGTATTTGACTGGAATGGTTGACAAGAGGACACTTGAGAAATATGAAAGAGAAGCTAAAGAAAAGAACAGAGAAACCTGGTATAGTAAACTTTGACGGCACTATAAATTACTTCTAAGGAAACGCTGCCTACTCAGTGCCTCTGTCGTCTACTATGATACAAGCGCATGGGGTCTGAGCTGGTGTCCTGACAAAGGAGAGGTGTCCTGTCCCCTCGCACTGCACAGTAGATCAGCCCCTGACGACTCTGGCGCCGCACAGGGAATCTGGGAACACCCAAGTGTCAGTCACAGATGCAGGATAAATTCCAAGCCATCCATCTGGCGGGTCGTTACCTAACCGCCAAAACATTGCATTTATCAAATCTGTAATAACTCGAAGTAGAGCTTAGGTTACAGTGGGATTTGGGAGAAAAGCAGGTGACATGATAGTGGTTAGGATGTGATCAGTAACGATGTAAATAAACCCTGGAAAGAAAAAAGCGGACACAGTTATTGACAGTGGTTGCCTTTGAGAGATGAGAGAAAAGGTCAGGTTTTTTTTCCTAATCTTACCTTTCTTGTAAAAGTTCAGATTTATCTGGGACATTCATGGTTTTTGTTCTGTTTTTTTTTTTTTTTTTAATTGTTTTGCTCTGTATTAAGGGGAAAGATCCTTACCAATGTTTTTTTTTTTTTTTTTTTTAATTTTTTTTAATGTTTTATTTATTTCTAGGAGAGAGAGAGAGAGAGACAGCGTGAGCAGGGGAGGGTCAGAGAGAGAGGGAGTCACAGACTCTGAAACAGGCTCCAGGCTCTGAGCTGGCAGTCAGCACAGAGCCCGACGCGGGGCTCGAACCCATGAACCGCGAGATCATGACCTAAGCGAAAGTCGGACGCTTAACTGACTAAGCCACCCCAATGTTATACTAAAGCCCCAACTAAGCCCCAACCAATGTTATACTAAAAAATGGATGATATACTACAAAATATAGATGATGAGTTCATCTAAATTAACACCTATTACAAATGCTTTGAATTTACATAAATCGTTTTCACATGGCAAAGAGGTACCGAAATGATTTTTAGCAGGTAATCATTGCTCCCAGATGGTAGTTAGTGGCTTCTGCTTTTGAAAAATGTCCCTCAATAGCGTTTTTTTGTGTTATTCTTCGTGCCAGCTGATTGTAGAAACCCACAGTGATACTGGCATTGATCCTAAGTAGTCTTTCTGTGTAGTCAGCTTGTGTTCATAAATACTGTTTGCTTATAGAATATATATACTGGTTTTCCCCTGTATATCCAAGAGTAGAATGTTCCATTCAAATCTTTTGTAAGCCAATGGCCTAAAGCAAAGAAGCAGTTGTCATCAGTTTCCCTGGAAAACATTTGTTGAGCCTTCCCAGACCCAAAGAGGAACCTCTCTGGCTTTTCTGATACCTCGGGACAAAATAAATGGAGCCCCTGCGCAGATGCGCAGGCACAGGTCAAAGCTGTGACCGCCTGCCGCAGAGACGCCTGGGGAAGGAGCGTATGGCGCCGCGCCGCCTCCATCACAGTTCGCTGCAGAACGAACGCTGAACGCTGTTTTTGCCTTTCACCTTTTTTTGTAAAAAAAATTTTTTTAAATCCTCTTCGAATATCTTTCAGTTTGTAAACACAGGTACTAAATGTAGGTCTTTTGTGAAAGCGAAGTGGCCTAACAGGAACTTTCAAAAATCAGGGAATACCTGTAATTGACTAGATATTTGTAAAAGCTCAAAGTGTTTGAATCACAATAATACAAGTTTTAGTCTATTACTTTTCATTTCTACCCAGTCTTATTCATGTGGTTTTTTTTTTTTTTTTTTTTTTTTTTTTTTTCCAGTTTTTTTTTTTTTTTTTTTTTTTTTTTTTTTTTTTTTTTTTTTTTTTTTTTTTTTTTTTTTTTTTTTTTTTTTTTTTTTTTTTTTTTTTTTTNTTTTTTTTTTTTTTTTTTTTTTTTTTTTTTTCCAGAGCGGGGATGGGGGTACAAGTGAGCAAGGGGCAGAGAGAGAGAGAGAGAATCCCAGGAGGGGCAGAAGGAGAGACTGGGAGGAGAGCAGGAGGGAGAGGGAGAGAGAAGGGGAGCTCGAGCTCACCCTGTGTGGGACTCAGACTTAGAAACCAGGAGATTGTGACCTGAGCTGAAGTAGATGCGAGTGACTGAGCCACCCAGGCGCCCCATGAATTTTTCTCTAAGATTTTTAAAAAAGTTTTAAGTAATCTCAACACCCAGCCGTGGGGCTCCAACTCACAACCCCGAGATCAAGAATTGCACGACCCACCAGCCAAGCCAGCCGGACGCCCCTGCGCTGTTCACGATTCAAACGTTGTGTGCTGGACGTGAGGCGGATGTCCTTGTCACACCTTTAGCAGTAGGAGAATATTGTAGAAACTCCTACGTTCTTAGCAGTATTTCTCTTCTTGTAAAATTATTTCAGGTACTTGTCTTGGGCCTTAGACACAAATCAGGAAGAACGAGACAAGGGTAAAACAGTCGAAGTGGGCCGTGCCTATTTTGAAACGGAAAAGAAGCATTTCACGATTCTGGACGCCCCTGGCCACAAGAGTTTTGTCCCAAATATGATTGGTGGTGCTTCTCAAGCTGATTTGGCTGTTCTGGTAAGAAAGACCTTTCTGGTTCACCTGTGTATTTGTTGGTTTTGTTTTGTTTTGTTTTCTGATGGAAAGAAACTTTTTTAAAAATTTTAATGTTTATTTATTTTTGAGAGAAAGACACAGAGTGAGAGACAGATGTGTGAGCAGGGGAGGGGCAGAGAGAGGGAGACACAGAATCCGAAGCAGGTTCCAGGAGAGCCCATTGCGGGGCTCGAACCCACGAATCCCGGGATCATGACCTGAGCTGAAGTCAGACGCTTAACTGACTGAGCTGCCCAGGCGCCCCTCGCCTGTGTATTTGCTAGCAGCCCCACTGCAGTGCGAAGTGCTTGATTTTACCCTCTAACAGCTAGAACGCAGGTTGCAGCGAGCTGTAGCATACGGTGACAGGTGTCACTCTCCCGCTCTCAAGCAGTCTTTGTCATTGGGTTCACTTAGGCAAACACATTCCATCTTGTCTCTGCCGTCGCTGTTATCCATGACCGTGTCAGAACCTAGTGTCGGTTCAACGCCACGCCCGATCCGTTCTGTACATTCCCTGTGTGTGGCGGGTCTGCAACTCAGGAAGAAATGATCTGTTTCTTCAAGGCCTTCAGGCATTTTGCAGGGTTGTCCGCTTTGTCAGCGTGCTGGCCCGAAGTCACATGCAGGTGACTTTGCAAATTACAATGGCATGTGAGATTTTGGAAAATTGGAGGATCGGAAGAAACTTTAAGCCATTTAGATGTGCTGTTCAAAAGCACCCATGTTATATAGCTCATTCACTGTGATTTTCTTGCAAAAATCTTCTATAAAACTGAGAGGAAAGACTTTTCCGCTGCTCGGAGGGTACACCTGAATGGGAAAGGTAAGCGTAAACTATTGGATTTCTTGGAATAGGTCATCTCTGCTAGGAAAGGAGAGTTTGAAACTGGATTTGAAAAAGGCGGACAGACGAGAGAACACGCGATGTTGGCAAAGACGGCGGGTGTGAAACACTTGATCGTGCTTATTAACAAGATGGATGACCCCACGGTGAACTGGAGCAGCGAGAGGTGAGCTTCGCTGTTTTGCTGCTACGTGCTGTGTCCCCCTGCGGTTTTTCCAAAACCTTAATTTGTTGGGGGCTCCTGGGGGGCCCAGTTGGTTAAATGTCCAACTTCGGCTGAGGTCATGATCTCATGGTTTGTGAGTTCGAGCCCCGTATCGGGCTCTGTGCTGACAGCTCAGAGCCTGGAGCCAATTTTGGATTCTGTGTCCCCTCTCTCTGTTCCTCCCCTGCTCGTGTGCGCTCGCTCGCTTGCTCTCTTTCTCTCAAAACTATAAATAAAAATTGAAAATTTTTAAACCTTAATTTGTTTCATAATGAAACTAGAGTTCACTTGTTTTATATTATAATGGGGTTATTTATAAATGTTCACAGGTATGAAGAATGTAAAGAGAAGCTAGTGCCATTTTTGAAAAAAGTTGGCTTCAATCCCAAAAAGGACATTCACTTCATGCCCTGCTCAGGACTCACTGGAGCAAATCTTAAAGAGCAATCAGATTTCTGCCCTTGGTACATGTAAGTAACCTTTCCTTCTTTTCAGAAAAAGTTTATATCTTCATAAGTAATTTCAGAAAATACTTTCTCTAACTGTGGCTTTAAAAATACTATGACCTTCGCTGAATTTGTCATCGTGTTGTCTTCTTCTAAGTGAGTTGGGAGGGTTCCTTCCGTACTGGGTAGAAGTCCTTTATCAGGTAAATGATGTGCACATATTTTCTCCTCTGTCTTGTCTTTTCACTTTCCTGATGGTGTCCTTTGAAGCAAAAATATTTGAATTTTTATGAAATCCAGTCTGTTTTCTCTTCTGGTTGTGCTTTTGGGGACACCCTTAGGACACCCTTGCCTCACAGGCACGGACACTGCGCCCCTCTTTTCTTCGAAGCCTGCCTCAGTTTTTGCTATTTCAGTTACACGTCTGTCTGCTGCGTTTTGGGTTAATTTTTTCGTTACGTAAAGTCTTGATTACTGAGCTTTTGTAAGTTTTCAAATTGGGAAGTGTGATTCTTTGAATTTTATTATTTTTTTTTTCCCCCAAGATGGTTTTGACTATTCTGGGTCCCTTGAATTTCTATATGAACATTAAGATCAGATTGTCATCTTATCCCAGAAGGCAGCTGGGATGTTCAGGGGGAATTGCACTGAATCTGTAGATCAGTCTGGGGACCATTGCTATCTTGGCAGTATTAAGCCTCCCAGTTGATACACTGTAGTGTTAAAGGGGAAATGATTTTATGGAATCCTAATTTCAGAGCTGGAGAAGTCCATAAAAATTAAGTAGCAGAAAGAAAGCCAATTATTACAAAATGTAGGCCATTTGCTATAAAATATTTTCTAAGTCTTAAGTTTATGATGAAGCTTTTTTTATTATATCTCTAGAGCTATTTGTTATATTTTTATTTTTCTGAGGAATGGAGGAGATGGACTAGATAATAAATTGGTTGAATGAGAGAGTACGTGGGTAGAATGGAAGTATTATTAGAACTGTTTTGTAGAAGGTTACAGTCTTGTAACTTCTTAAAATTCTTGGTACTTATGTTGATTCTTTTTACTGGATGTTACTCTGTTTTCAGTGGTTTGCCATTTATTCCGTATCTGGATAATTTGCCAAACTTCAATAGATCAGTTGATGGACCAATCAGGCTGCCAATTGTGGATAAGTACAAGGTACCCCGAATGTTCAAGAAATTGGGTTTTATGGGAGGTGAAGTCATCGTTTTGTGTTTTAAGTTACAAAATAACCATGATAATAAAAAACATAGCATAGTTGTCTCTTTTTTTAGTTTTTTAACATTTGTTTATTTTTTGAGAGAGCGAGTGAGTGCGCATGAGTGGGGGAGGGGCAGAGAGCGGGAGACAACAGAATCCGAAGCAGGCTCCAGGCTCTGAGCTGTCAGCACAGAGCCCGATGTGGGGCTCAAACCCACGAGCTGTGAGATCATGACCTGAGCCGAAGTCGGGGGCTTAACCATCTGAGCCACCCAGGCACCCCTAGGTGTCTTCCTTAATGGCCATATGTTGTTCAGTGATCTAGATGGGTCGCAGTTTAATCAGCCAGCCTAGTTTATTTAAGCAGTTCCCCAGTGAGCCAGTAATCATTTTGTAGAGAGAAAGTCATACAAGTAAAACCTGCTGGAGCCAGAGGACTTACACATTACCGTTGATGGACACGGGCCAGTAGCCTTCAGAACGCCAGCAGCAGTATGGGAATGCGGGTCGCACCGCAGCCTCACCAACACGCTCTTCACCATTTCTCAGTATGTGATGCTTTGCCCTCCTCAAATACTTGATTCTTCCACTAGCTCCATGCTATGTTTTTTGAACGAGTATTTTTCTAATTTTACACACGAGGGAGCAGGCTCAAGAGTTGTGAGAGAATCTGAATGAATTTCAGCAAAATAATTCATATCTTCAGATGTATAATTCGGTGCTGTTTCCATTACCACGCTTTTTTTAGCTGGCAGGCGTACTTACTAGTATTCTGATCGTACATGTGCCGATGACAAACAATATGGAGTATTTGTTACATGTGCTGTGTTTAAGGTTAATCCTAAGCCTTCTGCCACTTGAGCTGAAGGTTTCTTGTATGAGTAAGCCCCATAAGATTTCACTTTGGGTTGTTGAATTGTCGTAGAGTAGTAATAAAAGTTTGCATCTCAATTTTCTGATTTCAAATCGAAACAGGACATGGGCACCGTGGTCCTGGGAAAGCTGGAATCAGGGTCTATCTGTAAAGGCCAGCAGCTTGTGATGATGCCGAACAAGGTAAGAATTAGTAATGCTCTTACTTGCGTTTTGTCCTGAAAATGTTAGCAAGGCGCTAGAACTTTTAAAAACAATGTAGGGATTTCTGTTAACAGAAAACTTTTAAAATCCAGGATTACATTTTATTAATGTCAAGTACACAATTTACTCCAGGGTAAGTGGTGTGTGTCACAGGGACGCAGTGACAAATGGGGAGGGCCAGCATTAGCCCCGTGTTAGAGCCGAAAGGTGTATCAAGAGAGTGTTGCCTTCTATCTTTCACAAGAGCCACGTAGAGGCCTGCAGTGGATAAGTGACCTGTTGCTGTTACCATGTGACCTCAGCGAGCGGGCCAGGGATGAAAAGTCAAGTTTAATCGTGGTTTCATTGGCCTTTTTTTTTTCTTGTATGTAGTTATGTTGGATACTGTAAAATAACGTGTCCAATCTGTGCTCCTCACCTATTTTAGAGAAGAGGATTTGCCTTTACCATAAATGAGTCTTGTCAGAATTCTTTCTTCCTACCTTTTTGTAATCTGTTTACTGTTGGAGAGGGTTTCATTAAAACACGCAGAATCCCCGTGAACTCTTCCTTTGTGTGATTTCTGACTGCTTGGTTGCTGATGACGACACACACGTAACTAAGGAACTCTCTTACCTGCTTCCCAGAGCGGCCTTCTCCCAGCTCCAAAGGCGCTGTGTAGGAAGGTAGACTTTAGCCATCAGAACCTCCAAATAGGGGTTTTGTTAGTCTAAGGGAGAATTTCTTCATGCTCATTTTAGGCTCAGTGAATTAGGGAAAGGATCCCTTGTCACTGTAATGTTTAGGTATAATTGGCACCTTATACACTGTACTTTGAGGTTTCTTGAGACCTTATGCATTGGAGACTGGAGTAGCCTATCCTGGTCTCTTGTTATTTTACTAAGGTATTTATCACCGCAATTGAATGCTGGTGACAGTGAATGAAAATGGAGCTCATTGTGGATCTACAGAGCAGTCACAGAAGTAGTTTGGTCGTGGTGATGGAAGGCAGATTGATTGGTGGTTCCAAGAGGCAAGGGGACAGAGAATGGGGAGTGACTGTTTAATGAAGGGCACAGTTTCCTTTTGGAGTGATGAAGATGTTCCGGAACTAGATGCTGGTGATGGGTGTACAATATTGCGAAATGCCGACTGGCCGCCACCGAATTGTACAATGTCAAATGGTTGAAAGAGGTAAATTTCATGAGTTTTGTACCACAACAGGAAGAGAAGTACAATCCACTGTCCTCACGTGAATTAGTGCCCGGCCGTGGCTGTAGGTGAGGGGTCCTGGTGGACTCGTTAGAGCCGCGCTGATGACCGGGCGGGTCTCTGTAGCAGAGCCTGTGAGTTAGGCAAGCCTCAAAAACTCACTTCACTTTAGTACTGCTGAGTCTCCGTGGAACAGAGTTAGATATTTTAAAGGACACAGATGCCTGACTATCTTACATTAAAAAATTAATGGGCAGGTAACCTACAAAACGGGAGAAAGTAATTGTATATCATAAATCTGATAAGGGGTTAAATCCAGAATATTCAAGAACTCCAGGGGTGCCTGGCTGGCTCAGTTGGTTGAGCGTCCAGCTCTTGATTTTGGCTCAGGTTGTGATCCCAGGGTCATGGGATCCAGCCCCAGGTCGGGTTCTGCACTGAGTTTGGAGCCTGCTTAAGATTCTCTCTCTCTCTTCCTCTGCTCCCTCCCTTGTTCACACCCTGTCTCTCAAAATTAAAAAACAACTCAACAACAACAAAATAAAATAACCCAAGTCAAAAATGAGCAAGGAACTTAAGCATGTCTGAAGAAGATGGTCAGCAAGCACATGAAAGAGATCTCCAGGTCTCTAATCGTTAGGGGAAGGCACGTCAGGACCACAGCAAGATGGCACCTCATCCCCGTCAGGGTGGCTGCTGTCAAAGCCCAAACTAGCAGATTTTGGGGAGGATGTGGAGAAACTGGAGAACCTTTGTATGCTGTTGGTAAGAACAGAAAAGTGCACAGCAGCTGTGGAAAAACATGTTTCCTCAGAATTTTAAAGATCGATTAATTGTATGATCCAGCAGCTTTTCTGACGCATGCTTACAACATGGCTGAACCTCAGGGGTGTTGTGTGAAGTGAACAGAGCCTGTCACAAAGAGATAAATAATGTAAAGTTCCACTTATGCGGGGTCCTTAGAGCAGGCAAAAAAAAGGCAAATCCTTTTTTTTTTTTACTTTTTTGTGAGAGTGAGCACAAGTGGGGGAGGGGCCGAGAGAGGCACAGAGGGGCCTCTGCAGGGACAGGCTGACAGCAGCAAGGCCAGCATGGGGCCGAGATCATGACTCTACCTGAAGTCAGGTACGTGACTGACTGAGCTACCCAGGCGCCCCTTACTACCTTTTGTAAGCCAGGTGAATTTGTTGGCATCTGTCTTCATTTTTTTTTTTTTAATGTTTTATTTATTTCTGAGAGAGAGAGACAGCGTGAGCAGGGGAGGGTCAGAGAGAGAGGGAGACACAGAATCCGAAGCAGGCTCCAGGCTTTGAGCTGTCATCACAGAGCCCAACGTGGGGCTCGAACCCACGAACCATGAGATCATGACCTGAGCCAAACCAGACGCTTAACTGACTGAGCCACCCAGGTGCCCCATTTTTGACGCTGTGGATCGATTTAAAGACGAGATGGGCTCCATCGCGTTGAGCCATAGGAGGCCGTGTTTGGGAGACGGATTGTTGTGCTGGCTTGTTGGACGGGAGGTAGCGAGCAGCACTTGTTAGTGTGCCTTCGCTGGGCCTGCTGGTCTCTGCCCCTTTGTCCTGGTACCGGCAAGAATGTAGCTAATCAGTCTGGCGCTGTTTCACTTCTTGGAGTGAATTCAGATGGCTATCGAAACGGTATAAGCTGCCTTTTGGGAAAGGAGGGCGCTCTGGGTTGAGGGAGGGGAGAGACCGCGGGAGTCGCCCAGGCAGCGGTCTGGAGGGTTCGCCGCTGTCATGAGGCTGTCTGGTCCTGAGGCCTGTTATTTCGTTCTGTGGTACGTGTTTTAAAAATACGAATTCTTTCCAAGGGCAGAAACGGAGTACAATAAGGCAGTGTTCTTGGGTATTGCTTTTCACACTTTCTCCCATCTGTATGCTGTTTTAGAATAACTGGTAAAAGCTATAAATTTTACCATTCGTGACATTTGGTATGTCCACAGCTGTCCCCACTCTTAAGTTCCAGCATGTTCAGCATCCCAGAAGGAACCCTGTACCCATTAGTCAATATATAAGTGTGTATATGTGTGTGTGCATATGTGTGTGTGTGTGTGTGTGTGTGTATTTAATGTTTATTTTTTTTTGAGAGAGAGCTGGGGAGGGGCACAGAGAGAGGGAGGCCGAGGATTCTAACAGGCTCCGCATTGATAGCATAGAGCCCGAGGAGAGTTCGAACTCATGAATCATGAGATCGTGACCTGAGCCGAAGTCAGATGCCCAACTGAGCCACCCAGGTGCCCCTAGTCAATATTCTTTTAAAGCTTAATTGTTCAAGAAACTTTGGAGAAGTACAGTCTTCAGATGTTCAGGGTTGAGAGTTAGTAGAAGCGGTGTCCATTGAAATCCTAGAGTTTAAGCATCATCATAAAAATGACATTCGTAAAATTAAAATCCAGATGTTAGATTTAATGTTAATAAGCGTCTTGGCTAATCTGCAACCGCAGAAAAATGTGACTTGCGGGGCTTAGAGTGACTGGTCAGATCGTGTTACATTCTGCCGTGCAGTGGATGTGTCCAAAAACCTCCTCCCATTTTGGGTTTATATGTATGTGTGTGTGTTTTTTTTTAAGCACAACGTGGAAGTTCTTGGAATCCTTTCCGATGACGTAGAAACTGACTCTGTAGCCCCAGGTGAAAACCTCAAAATCCGACTGAAAGGCATTGAAGAGGAGGAGATTCTTCCGGGATTCATACTTTGTGATCCTAATAATCTTTGTCATTCTGGACGCACGTTTGATGCCCAGGTAGACTAGTTATTGGGATTGTCTTCGCAGCTTCTACGCTCCGTATGAAATTAGAATGTAAACACCCTTTGTCCTGATGGTTGGTAACATGCCGTTGCGTGTAGGAGGGGGGCTGAAATAGAGGAGGGCCTACATACGGGTCAAAGCGACTGTGATGTCTGTCACACACACCAGGTCTTCCAAGAGGTGGCCCTCGGAAGTTCCTGTTTACTTTTTGATCTCCTGTTGACAATAAGTATTGGTACTCACATTCTGCTCAGAGTGTCTTTCCCCGTAAGGGGAGCACAGTTGCCTTGGCGATGAGGCTGTGTCTGTTTGTTCAGAGTAAGTAACTTTCCAGACAGGAAAACACAGTTTCTCCATGTTATTAGCCACCTGACTTCCCCTCAAGGATGACAGAGTATGATTGGGGTAGCCCACCGAATTTTCGAGTTCCGTCACAAGCTCTGATCACTAGTCAGGTTAGGTTTGGTTGCCGGAGACCAGGTTGTCTACCTTTACTGGGCCTGAGTCTTTGAGAAGTGGGTACAACTATGGGATGTTCACAGCTGGAATGAAACAAAAGAGAACTAGCTGTCAGTGGCAGTGATTTCCTTCCTTCCTTGGGGAGAATGGAGGGCAGGCTTCTTAGAAGGGAGAACTTGCCTGTGGGCTTCTCAGGTCAGGGTTTGGCCTAGATCGGTAGGGGAAGGATCTCCTGACCCAGCACTTCTGACTCAAAAATAAGTCAAGTCGGTGTCCTGCTGAGGCGCTGATTTCCACATTCCCGTGGTACGAGGTGGCTCTGTAGAATGTTCAGCTCCTTTTCACCCCAGGGATAAAGATGTGGGTTGTTCTGTTTGCAGATAGTGATCATAGAGCACAAGTCCATCATCTGCCCGGGCTATAACGCGGTGCTGCACATTCACACCTGTATCGAGGAAGTCGAAATCACAGTGAGTCGTCATCCCCCGGTCACTATGAGAACGGGGGGGCGGGGGGGGGTTGTTGGTGTGTGTGTTGGAAGACTGTCTCCTCTTGATCATTTCTGATCGGCAACAGCGAGGCACATGTATCTGTACTCCTTGTCTTAAAGGTTCTTTTATTCGGCATTATTGTGACCTCCTCTCTTCTTGGACAGGCCTTAATTTGCTTGGTAGACAAAAAATCAGGAGAAAAAAGTAAGACCCGACCCCGTTTTGTGAAACAAGATCAAGTTTGCATTGCTCGCTTGAGGACAGCGGGAACCATCTGCCTGGAGACCTTCAAAGACTTCCCTCAGATGGGGCGCTTCACCTTACGAGATGAGGGTAAGCCTGCACGCGGGGTCTGGTCGTGCCCCCGGGATGCGCAGCTTTTCCGTCTGAGTGCCGCGCGCATCAGGAGGTCCCAGAAACCTTGGGTGCGTGATTTGTAATATATTCCGATGACAGATGTATTATGGGGTGAGTGACTTGAACGGCAGAGAGTCAGCCGTGCATTTTAGTGGCGTGCTGTAGGTGTAAGAATCTTAATTTTGAGATTTTGCAAGGAGTAGGCTGTGAGAGTGATTTTATTCACGAAATAAGATGTTCTGTGACAAAATCCTTTGTACTGTGAGTGATTGAAGCCCATCCTGGAGGGCTCGACCCCGGAAGGCAAGTTTTTGCCATACAGGCCTCTGGGGTAACACCTAGTCCTTTCTGTGCTCAGGACACATTTTACAATCAAGTATGATAAGCATTCACTACACTGATGGCGGGGAGGGAGGAGAATAAAAGGGATACAGAAATTGGTGGCCTCTTAGCACCAAATTTTTGCCGCAGTTTATTAATTTTTTAAATTGTTTTTCATATAGTTTATTTATTTTTATTTATTTAAATATATTTATTTATTTATTTATTAAACAGAGCATGAGTGGGGGAGGGGCAGAGAGAGGGGGAGACAGAGAATCTAAAACAGGCTCCAGGCTCTGAGCTGTCACCACAGAGCCCGATGTGGGGCTCAAACCCACGAACAGTGAGATCTGACCTGAGCCAAAGTTGGGCGCTTATATGACTGAGCCACTCAGGCGCCCCCTTTATCTTATTTTTTTTTTTAATGTTTTATTTTTTTCTGAGAGAGAGAGGCAGCGTGAGTAGGGGAGAGTCAGAGAAGGAAATACAGAATCCAAAGCAGGTTCCAGGCTCTGAGCTAGCTGTCAGCACAGGGCCTGATGCGAGACTCAAACCCATCAACTGTGAGATCACGACCTGAGCTGAAGTCGGATGCTTAACCCACTGAGCCACCCAGGCGCCCCTTTTACCACAGTTTAATAGTGTTTTTTATGTGACAGTGCATATCCATTTCTGCCTACTTCTGAGCGCATCCGAATAGCTGTGCTTTTCCGGTCTGTGGCCCTGCAAGTCTTTGGTAGCATGAAAACACAGTGACTCTTAGTAAATGTCTCCCTGTGGCTTACTAATACTTCTAACTTACGTACTAAGTTTAAGACAGCGGAAAACTTTACCTAAAGCATGTGGCGCAGCTAAAACGTAGAATCGGCAGCCAGTCGGTCCCAGTTCTGTTGGACAGAAGGCCGTGTGTCCGCTGCGGGTCAGCAGCTGCAAGGGGCCCGGAGAACATGCCGGCGATCAGTTCCTGAACCTTCCTTCAGAGGAATCTGTATGGAGAGTGTCTCCATTTTATTTTATTTTATTTTATTTATTTTATTTTATTTTTTTAAAATGTTTTATTTATTTCTAGGAGAGAGAGAGAGAGAGAGAGCGCGTGAGCAGGGGAGGGTCAGAGAGAGAGGGAATCACAGACTGAAACAGGCTCCAGGCTCTGAGCTGGCAGTCAGCACAGAGCCCGACGCGGGGCTCGAACCCACGAACCGCGAGTACATGACCTAAGCGAAAGTCGGACGCTTAACCGACTAAGCCACCCAGGCGCCCCTTTTTATTTTTATTTTAAAGTCTGTATCTAGGAATTCGTGAAACCCGTCACACTGGGTTTGTCCTGTTCGCGTAACAAAATGAGAATCTTAGTTGCTGATTAGAACCTGATAAAAACCAGTGGCCAGAAGAAATTAATCTAGCAAAAATGTTTAACCCCAGGCTTATTTGTTTTCCTAAGGAGGTGCTTGGCTTTTAGGATTTTCACATGACCTGATGGCATTTGTACCTCTTAAAATAGGACTGAGAACCCCTTTTAACAGCTTTATTGAGAGAATTTATATACCTTGAAATTGACTTGTTTTCAGTGTACAACTTGATGAGGTTTTGTAGGTTTACAAGGTGTATAGTCATCACCCCATTCTCATTTTAGAGTATTTACAGCATGTTAAAAACAAAAAACCCTTATACCTGCTTACAGCCACTTGCTATTCCTATCCCACGCCACCCACAATTCTTTCTCCCTTTGCCTTATTAGGACATGCCATGTAAATAGAATCATACAGTTTGTGGTCTTTAGTGTCTAGTTTATATCACTTGGCATGTTTTTTTTTTTTGTTTGTTTTTTTTAAAAAAAATTTTTTTTTAATGTTTTATTTACTTCTAGGAGAGAGAGAGAGAGAGACAGCGTGAGCAGGGAGGGTCAGAGAGAGAGGGAGTCACAGACTCTGAAACAGGCTCCAGGTTCTGAGCTGGCAGTCAGCACAGAGCCCGACGCGGGGCTCGAACCCACCAACCGCGAGATTATGACCTAAGCGAAAGTCGGACACTTAACCAACTAAGCCACCCAGGCGCCCCTCACTTGGCATGTTTTTGAGGTTCAACTGTGTTACAACATGGATTCTATGTAATTCTTTGCTTTCTATTGCCAAATAGCATTCCGTGGTATAAGCCCTCCACATTTTTCTTGTCCGAGCTTGGGTTTGTGATACAGGAAGTGTCGTTTCTTTTCAGCTTCCCCGCCCTCTTTCCAAAGACCCACTTACGAAGACAACCTCGTCAGAAATCACACCTTTGATGGGAAAGCTGGTCCATTAGTAATTTGCATTGTGAAAAATCATTGTATGGTTTAAAATAATAAGCTTTAATACCTTATATAGCTCTGCTGTTAACTACTGAAAAGGGTTTTTGTTTCTGTTTTTTTTTTTGTTTTTTTGTTTTTTTTTAATTTCATTTCTAGGTAAAACCATTGCAATTGGAAAAGTTCTGAAACTGGTTCCAGAGAAAGACTAAGCATTTTCTTGATGACCCTGCACAAGTACTGTGAGGAAAATTGACTGCAAAAGCCTACTTCACACCGCCTTCTCTTATTTTCTGCCCATTGACAAACTTCTCCCCATATTTTGCAAAGACGAAATTCACAGCAAAGTCCACATAATGTCAGCTTTCTCATATTGAGAGCTCTGCTATGCCACTGTTGAATTTTCCCCCAGACTTTTTTCCTTCCCCTCCCAAACTCTGCTTCCTTGGACAGACTTGGCAATAGCTTTGTAAGTGATGTGGACATAATTGCCTACAATAATGACAACTTACAGAAATTTTTTTATTTTTCATCTCCCCCTTAGATCTACTTAGGCTTTTTTCCCCAGGCAGATCATTCTGAGTGTGCGAGTGTGTGTGCACATGTTACAGAGACAACTACCATGTTAATAAAATATTCAATTTGAAATCCTTTTCGGTATTTGAATTGCTTTTGAATAATGTTTTATATCTGGATGTAACATTGTTGCATTAGCTTTTTAACTTACCAAGTAATTGAGTACCTTTTATTACTTGGACTTTTCTAAACGCCTTCCCTTATCCACTACTCTAAACGAGGCATTTACAGACAACAATGTTCATGTTTGTATCAAAGGAAAGAACTCGCCGGACCACTCCTTTTGATGGTTCATGCAGACCTACAGTGAAATACCTTTATGCAGCCGTGACCCGGCTTTTGTAGGTCTGTCCGTTTCGTTCCACCCGTTGGTATTTTAACACGATTTCTTTAGACACAGTATGTTGTTTTAAAGTAAAAGAACAGCATACTGTCGTTTTTATACGGAAAGCATACTGAAATTGTACCCCTACGGAAAATTCCATTCACTCGTTAAATTAGTGGAATTTGCAATAAAGACCGCATGTTGAGACCTGGCGAAAATGCCTCCTTTAGTATTTATAAGAGCTGCATGCGTCCAGTATGAAAACCTGTATCAATTGCAAGTGCCAGTACTACAAATTACTCCGTTCACGATTTGTATCAGTACTTTAAAGGCTGGATGCTCCTTGCTGATTAAAGAGGTGTGTCTCATCCAGCAACTAAACGAACACATACTTAGAACCATCCGAATCTGCACAGACAGAAGTTAACAGTAATAAGTGGAATCAAGCACAGTATCGACGTTTTTCTGTTATTTGAAATGGACTGTTTTCTTAAATACAAAGCTGAAATTTGCTAAGCTGTTATTTGGAAGCATCACAATGGAGCATTGTGGTGGTTTTTAGATTGAGGGCTGACTTTCTACTACAGCCATCATGACTTTGACATTTTTAATGAGAGTAAGTGGGAAATGGAAGAGCCACTTTCTGCTTTACTGGTAAGCCCCCCTTGATTTTGAGTGTTGCCATTTATCAAAGACCTGACCTCTTTTAGATTGTGGTTTACCTCTAAATAAGATACTTTGTAATTGCGTATTTAACGATACATCCCTTCCCTGAAATCTTCCTCAGAAAAGAAAAGCCTAGTCAGACTATATTTCCAGTCACAAAATATAAAACTTAATCTAATCCTGTTCTCTTAACTCTAGAATTACCATTCATTTCATGAACGAGGCTGTATCTTAGGGACGGAGCCAAGTTCTTCCCTATGGCTCCCTAGAACTATATACTCGTGGCTATTAAATTGCATGAAGTTTAGCTAAATTTTACTATGTCTGCAAATCTCTGGGCTTTTATTTTTCGGGGAAATCGGGGAGGTTTAATCCGTACATAATGACCGTTTTTGTACTTCCAAGGTAATAGGAACAAAATAGCAGTCGCTTGGATTTTAATGAATCTTTAAAAGCTCAAGAGTTGTTAAAATTCTTTCCAAAGATAGATTCTCATTTTTAAACCGAACATATTTTTAAAAACCAGTCCTGTTTGCTATTACATTACACTTTTAGAAGATTAGGTGCATGTTGCCAAGACTCTTCCGCTAAACGACACGGACACCAACTGTGAAGGGCCTCCTCTCAAAAAGAACAGACCATGAATATAAATATAATGGCGAAAGATGTCATCGGACTCTTTAGACATTTGTGCGAGTCATCAGATGATTTAAAACAAACCTCGCTGTTTAGTTTAACCAACCCCTTAACGTTCTGTGGGCTTTGACCTTTTTTGGGAAGTGTGCTCGCATCAAAGAAAGCCGGTACATTTTAAATCCCCTGGCTGGTGACCCGGATGAGGAAGTTCAGTGTGTGAAGTGAGCAGGCGGTGGGGGTGTTGGGCCCTTGAGAAGCAGTTGAGATTCCTGTGCTGCCCTGTTCTCTGCAAGCACACATGTGCTGCCGTGGGTGACAGTGCAGACGGGTGCTAACTGCAGATCAGGATAATACAGACCGAAACATTTCGTTCTCTGGCTTTGGCGTAGATCTCTTAGAATCCCAGCTTTCCTGGCGTCTTTTTGCGTTCATGTTCTGTATTCAACTTCCATGCTCAATTTATTTATAGCTTTTTAAAGTAACGAATTTCGGAGAAGCAAGCTAGCCTTGAAATGAGCATCCTAAGTAATTGCCATTTCCAACCCTTGACTGTGGGAGAGGGGAAAGTCTAGCACCTATTTCTTGTTTTCAATTTGCAAAAACGACTCGTCCGGTGAAAATCTATGTAAAACCGAACCCAAAGAGTCGGACTGAGAGGTATTGTCATGAAATTAAGTGACAGAGAGTAACGTGTTCTTGAATAATGAAGCCCGTGCGTCTTTCTCCTTGTGGAACTGAAAGTCTTGGCATAGGTGATGCCTGGATGTCAAACGTCTGTAAGTTGTGGAAGTACGGGCGGTTGGCTGTGACAAGCGCTAAGTCACACTGGCTCCGAGAACGGCCTGTGCGGTACGGGCTGGACTCTGGAGGGGCTGCTGTGCTCGAACGGTGACGGAGACGCTGCGGAAAACCTGGGGTCACCCTTCCCATCCGATGCGGTTCTACGACCCAAGAACAAGGCGAACCTGTGGCCAAAAACTGACAAAACTCCGCTAGCCTCCCGCCGTCTTCGGGAACCCTGGCCACGGCTGTCCCTGCTCCGCGGCCCACCCCTGCGTCGCTAGTGGCTTTGCTGCCTTGGGGAGGGGCTTCAGGTAGTGGAGGGGCAAATGGTTCCTAGGGCCGCTCTGAACATCTGGCAACTTTGATGCCTTGAAAGCCCTTTGTGACCATTCCGGTTTGTTCCTGCACGAGGGCAGACTGTTAACGGATCCGATGTCCTGGACAGTGCTGGCCTCCCTTCTCAGAAGAAACTGCTAGTAATCCTGTCGCAGACTTCCTCGGGGCACACGGCACTCAGCAGGATTCAGGGGACGGTTTTCTGTCTCCAGACGCCGTGGCTTCTGTCTCCTCAAGCTCCGTTCTCCATGATCCTAGCATGACGCCCTTGGATACAGCCAAGCTTTGTTTCTTCGGAGATCTTGCCATGGCAGCAGCTTGTTAAATAAACCAGTGTAATTACACATGCATCGCTCAGCACACTGCTGACTAGGTTTAAATTTAGCAGTCAGTTGGTTAGATTAGATTTCCTAGTGAGTGGAATAGGAACTGTTTCTATTTTCCTGTGATAGTTCCCTGGATTCCAGTCGAACCAATTTACTGCCAGGATTCAGATCGGGTAGGTTTGGTTCAGCCTGTGATGGGTTTTGGCTCTAGGTTACTGGTGACTTGCAGTAGCCTAGAACATACTGAGTCTTCCCTTCAATAAATATGCTTTTTCACATACCTCTAATCCGATACTTCCTTGAAACAGTAATATGCTAGCCGAGCCATTTACTAAGGAATGTTCTAAGCACCCGGAGGTGGGGAAGTGGACCGGAGAGCTTGTGTGTTCTCCAGCATAAGGGACAAGCAATAGGCACCACGTCCGACTGGGCAGAAAACTAGGATTTTTAAGCAACCCTCGGAAGGGACACTGGCTTTTCTGCCTTGCCACACCTGCCACTGTGCCCTTTAAAACCTCCCATTGGAAACCTCAGGTCTGTGGCCAGCAAAGGCACCAGGACATTTTGTGCTTCCCGAGGCTCCCCTCTGCCAGGCACGCCAGCTGAGCGCCCGCACGCCCACCTAGTCCCTGCTGCCCTGGGAGAGGGTGCCCGGGGCGGGGTCCCGCGCTCCTCAGGGGACCATCCACCTGCTCCAGGTGAACCTGCGCTCTGAGCCCGACCCTGCGTTCTAAGGACTCCCACTGGGCTCTCAAATGGACTCCCCTCTGAGTTGACCGGTTTCTTCTGTTCCAAAGGAAATGCGGATCTCTCTCAGGCCAGGATTTAGTGACTAGGTTTTACTAGACAGCATAGGTCAATACATACCTAGCTCGCGTTTTTTGTTTTTTTTTTAAACCAGAGAATTAATTCAAGGAAATGGGAGTAGGTCTGCTGGGGTTTTTAACCTAATTCCAAAGTGTGGCAGAATTCTCTAGGTAGGAACTGTGGGAATCCAAGGTAAAGAAACCTTTTTCTTATGATTTGTAGCTACCTACTGTGCCTGACTTGGTGCCTGTGTGAGGATTAAGCCCCTAGTCGCTCTTGCAATTATCCAAATGACTGAAGTTAAAAAAAAAATTGCTTTTGTAATAATAAAAATTGTCATCTTCCCTTTTGAAGGATTTGTCTGTCTGTTTACAGTTGCCTATACTGTGTCACACCCTGCGTGTTTCTGTCCTTTACTACGTCCTTCCTGCCTCAGGGCCTGGAACGGCCTTCCAGCAGATGCGGGTGGGTCCCACAAGCTCTCTCACAGGAGGAGATGCAGATACGGGGTCTGTTGGCACATGGTGAGCAAAGGCCTCTGTACGGCCCATGGGACGGAGTTAACAAGTCATATAGGAAGTTGGAGGCGCCTAAGCGTAAATACCGCCGCATGTGGTTTTACGTGAACAGAGCTGGGGAGCCACCAGCGATGCCGTCCCAAGTACGAACCTCTGTGTTCAGGATTTTTGGTAACGGTCAAGAAACGAAGGGCCCGGGCAAGAAGAACTTAATGATAAAGAGACAGTAAACCCAGTGGATCGTGGGATGGCAATAGTGTGTTCACGTATATTCCTGTGATTCTGTGAGGCCGGATGAGTTCTTGCTTAAACCGTCTGAGGTGACGGGTTTTGGGGATCAGCCTGCAGTACAGGTGTTTGGCATTCAGTGAGTCTTAGCTTAAAACTTGGGAGCAAGCAAGCTTTTATTTATTTTAATTTAAAAATGTTTTTAGTGTTTTATTTTTGGGGGAGACAGAGTGTGAGCAGGGGAGGGGCCAAGAGGGAGACACAGAACCTGAAGCAGGCTCCAGGCTCTGAGCTGTCAGAGCCCAACACGGGGCTTGAACCCACGAGCCATGAGATCATGACCTGAGCTGAGGTCAGGTGCTTAACCGACTGAGCCACCCAGGCGACCCGGGGGAGCAAGTATCAAAGCAGGGGTTCATATTATGAAAGTTCTTTTTTTTTTTTAATTTTTTTTTAATGTTTTATTTATTTCTAGGAGAGAGAGAGAGAGACAGCATGAGCGGGTCAGAGAGAGAGGGAGTCACAGACTCTGAAACAGGCTCCAGGCTCTGAGCTGGCTGTCAGCAGAGAGCCCGACGCGGGGCTCGAACCCACGAACCACGAGATCATGACCTAAGTGAAAGTCGGACGCTTAACCAACTAAGCCACCCAGGCGCCCCCATATTATGAAAGTTCTAAATAAGTGGCTTGTGATTAACCACAGTGATCAACACTTTTCTACTCTTCAGTGACGAGGTCTCCAACCCCGTGCGTCAAACCCCGCATTCTAACAGTGTTTGGGCATCCGTCCCAACCACGCGTGCACCGTGCTGCGGTGGGTAAAAGGCTGGCCACAGAAATGTGGCCCATGGAAGCGGTTTCAGAGACACCGTTTCCATCGATGGATCTTAAAGCGGGAAAAGAGCACCGATGCCTGAGACTCCGTAGCTTTGTAGTGAAGAACGCCAGAGCTCCTAGAATAAATGGTGGCCAGGTTACAATAACATACGTTTGAAGTTCTCCAAATTTAAAAAGACCTTTAAAGGGGCGCCTGGGTGGCTTAGTCGGTGAGGCGTCCGACTTTCGCTTAGGTCATGATCTCGCAGTTCATGGGTTCGAGCCCCACGTCGGGCTCTGTGCTGACTGCCGGCTCAGGGCCTGGAGCCTGTTTCAGTCTGTGACTCCCTCTCTCTCTGACCCTCCCCTGCTCACGCTGTCTCTCTCTCTCTCCTAGAAATAAATAAAAAATATAAAAAAAAAATAAAAATAAAAAGACCTTTAAAAATCCCACAGAACACTAGTCTCTTTGACCATGGGAAAACCCAGGTTCTGGAAAGTTTTTTTTCTTTAACCTCTTTAGTGACAAGCGCATCTATTTTAAGTCTCTGGCCATTTATGGCCATTTTGATGATACATGAAGAATTGGAAAGTCACGTACTGCAACGGCAAATGTTTTTGTTTCCTTACATTTGTCCTCTAAATCCAGTCTTGAAAGTGAAACTTTTGTTACCATGGATATGTATTTCCGTTCAATTCTTTCTGAAGGCTCTGTACCCAGATTCCTTGCATGAAATATTTTCCTATGTTTTCTGCTAGAAATAGTTAAAACAAGGAAACGAAAACCTCTGAGCTGACAAGTGTGCTTTTTGTTATTCAATTACTTTATTTTTTTAAATATTTGTATTTATTTCTAGGAGAGAGAGAGAGAGAGAGAGAGAGACAGCGTGAGCAGGGGAGGGTCAGAGAGAGAGGGAGTCACAGACTGAAACAGGCTCCAGGCTCTGAGCCGGCAGTCAGCACAGAGCCCGATGCGGGGCTCGAACCCACGAACCATGAGATCATGACCTAAGCGGAAGTTGCACGCTTAACCAACTAAACCACCCAGGCGCCCCATTCAATTACTGTTTTTAAAAAAATTTTTATAAGACTATATATATTTTTTTTAAATCTTATTTATTTTGAGAGAGTGAGAGAGCAGGGGAGGGGCAGAGAGAGAGAGAGAATCCCAAGCAGGCTCCTCACTGGCAGCATGGAGCCCATCGTGGGTCTCAAACCCATGAACTGTGACATCATGACCTGAGCCGAAATCATCACGAGTCAGATGCTTAACGAACTGAGCCACTCAGGCTCCCCAAGACCTATATATATATATAATATATAAATAAAAATATTGGGCTCTGTGCAGAGCATGTAGACTCCTTGGGATTCTCTCCCCCTCCCCCGCTCCTTTCCCCCCACTCCTGCTCTGTCTCTAAAATTAAAAAAAAATAGGCAAAACCTTTTCCCCTCTCAGTGTGCACTGGGTCCCATTTAATGTTAGCTGCATTTTTTTTTTTTTACTGTTTTTATTTATTTCTGAGACAGTGTGAGCAGGGGAGGGTCAGAGAGAGAGGGAGACACAGAATCTGAAACAAGGTCCAGGCTCTGAGCTAGCTGTCAGCACCGATCCCGACGTGGGGCTCAAACCCACAAACGGTGAGATCATGACCTGAGCCAGAGTCGGACGCTTAACCGACCGAGCCACCCAGGTGCCCCCATTAATGTCCTTCTGTTTCAGTACTTTGTCAAGTAACTTCCCAGAGCCTCAGTTCCCTCAGGGTAAAATGGGCAAATAACACCTCGTGAGGTGTCATAATTCAAGACTTGAGCCCAAAGTCACACCCAGGCGCCCCTTAGCTGCATATTTTCTGAACCCATCCCACTTCTGATCTCTTTAAACATTTCACTTCAGTGGAAATGATCATGCCCAAATACATAAAGAAGCAGCAGTAAAAGTAGTTAAAACTTAGTGATTTATTGAGTTTTAATTTTAAACCATTTTTACAAAAATTCTCTGGTTTAAGAGACGGGCTACTGGTCATCTAAGTACTGGTAAAAAGTTTAGCTAGAGAGGGAATAATGGGAAAAATTACATATTTGACCTATTGTCATTATATTTAGATGGAAATTCAATATGGTGAGTTAACCCCGTTTAATTGAAGTACTCAAGTATTTTGTGTTTGCTTGTAGATTTCACAAAGTACTTAAAATAAAAGCAATCTTTCCATTACCAGCTTTATTATTTCCCTGGCAAAGACACTAAATTTTCGGAAAAAGAAAATTTGAAAGAATTAGATTCTTAGGAGTTATTTACTGTTCGTAAAGAAGTTCCAGCAGAGCTTGTGTATGTAGAAGAGGAATTTTTTATTAAGGTGAAATTTGTATACAGTGAAATGCATAGAACTTTACAATGAGTTTGTCCAGTGTATACAATTATGTAGACACCCACATCAACACAAGGAATGTGTCCATCGCAAAAGTTCCTTCCTGCCCCTTTCGAGTTCCTTCCTTCCTTCTGCCAAGGGGACCATTGTTCTGTCACAGGTTAGTGTTGCCTGGTTTTGAACTCCACATAAAAGGAAATCACTATAGGCACTCAACTGTCTTCTTTAACGCAACATCATGTTTTATAATCGTATTGTGTCCATCAATAGTTTATTCCCTACTGCCAAGTAACTTTCTATGTTATGAATATCCCGGAATTTTTTTTATCCCTCCTTGAAGGGAGATTTAATTTTTTTTTCCCAATTAAGATTCTGTCATGTTGGTTGCAAATACAAACAGCCTTCTCTGAATTATCAATAGAAATGCAAATAAGTAAATAAGCCAGAGAAGTTTCATCTTTTCTGTCTATCTGCTTTTATTAAAGCTATTATCAAACACAGACCATTTAGTACTCCTAAAAGGTGGCAAAATAACATGAGCTTCCTTCTGATCTCCCGTCAATCTTTTGAAATGTTTACTTTTGACGGGGAGAGGGGCAGAGAAAGACGGAAACACAAAATCCCAAGCAGGCTCCAGGCTCTGAGCTGTCAGCACAGAGCCCAATGTGGGGCTCGAACTCACAAATTGTAAAATCATGACCTGACCAGAAGTTTGACGCTTAATGGGCTGAGCCACCCAGGTGCTCTTGTAAGTCATTTTTTCAGTCACACACAATACCATAGCCAGATTTTCTAACGCATAGTGATGATTCACACTACCTCCTCTTCTTTCCAACCACTTGCTCAAAAACCTAGCTATAGATTTCTCCAAATACAGAGAAGCCCTCGGCCTTGTAATGCATTAATTCTAGCCTCATCTCCGTCCCTCCCTTCCTCGTGTCCCTGCTCCAGCCTCCTACTACTTGCAAACACCACCGTGCCCGTGAACCTGAATTCATGCCTTTCCTTCGGTCTGGAAGTCTTGATTCTCAAACTTGAATTCAAATGACACATGTGACCTCCCTACCGCTCCTCTCATAATACCAGGAAACGTGACACACGAGGCCTAACCTAACAGCTCCTAATACTGTGCTATAAGGAATTCCATCCTACAGACATTCTAGAATGGACAAATAAGAGTGGGTATCAAAGATTTAAGAACATTTCTTCTACAAGCTGATTACGGACAAAGTCACTATCAGAAACCAGCAGCAAAACATGCCTCCTCCCAGCTTTGACAATAGGGAAGGAGCGTTTTTTGGAGAAACAAGAGACATGGAAAGCCTCCTACTCCCATTCTTCCGTCTCTCAAAACTGCCCGTGGCTGGTTGCAAAGACTGGACAACCTCCAAGAAATAGGCATTCGGGGGGCGAGGGGGAGCCAACGCGCAGAACAAGGGGTTTACGAGGCTAAAAGATTAAGTTTAAGCCCATCATCCATAAAGAAAAAAAAGGAACAGTCGTTTGTAAACGTGCCTAGAACATCCCTGGAAAGCTCCAGGAGAACAGGAAACAGCGGTCACCTCTGGGGACGCGGGGACGCGGGGACGCGGGGACGCGGGGACGCGGGGACTCTACCTCTTCCGGCCGCGGGGTGTCCAGCCTGCACGCTTCCGCGTACCTGCGCTGACCTCCCGCCTTGTGAGGCCCGAGGCCCAAGGGGGACGGGCGCCGGCTCAGGCTCGCGTCCCCACCACGCCGGAGGGGCGGCGCGGGTGGGGGGCGGGCCGGGCCAGGCGCTCTCCCCGCGCCCCTCGCGGAGGGGTTCCCGGAGAGTCGGCGACCCCACCGGCTGGGCGGACAGGCCTCCCCGGGTTCCAGGCGCTCGCTCGACTTGCTCGCTGCAGGAGAGCCATTTGTCGCCGAGGCTGCTCCCGCGCCTGCCGACGGAGACCCGGGCAGCGGGCGCAGCCGCCCACTCGGCTCGCTCGCGCCTGCCGAACCCGGCTGGGGTGACATCCCGAGGCCAGACCCCGCGCTCCCGGACGTGACGTAAGGGACCGGTCCCGCCCCCCAACTTCCGCCTGCGGGCCCGGGCTCGCGCGTGCGCACCGGGAATCCTGCCCTGGGTACCGCGCGCACGTCTGCACGAGGTGAGAACGAAATGGAGGGCTCGGCTTCCTCCCCACCCTCCTCCTCAACCGCAGCCTCGGCCTCCGCCCCAGAGACCCCGGCCTCCCTGGATCAGCTGGACGAAGGGCAGGTGAGTGGTTCCGTGGGGTCGGGGGGCTGGGGGGCCGGGTGGCCACAGGCGCGGGGTGTCGGTGCCGGCTCCCCGCCCCCGCGGACGGCCCCGGAGCTTCGGGAGGAGGGTCCCTGGGTCGCGCGGCCTCCGCCTGCCCGCCCCTCGCGCCCTCGGGGGGACGCCCGCCGCCGCCAGCCCTGCGGCCTGGCCCTCCAGGTGGAAGGAAGCAGGTACAGCCTGGGGTTCCGGGGTGGGTTCCACCCGGCTTTGCTCCCCTACCCTTTGACTTTGGCAGGTCGGGTAATTTTGCAAGCCTCCGTGACCTGGGGTTTAAAAAGAAAAGGGGTCTCTGCTGGTGTCGGCTCCCCGGGATCGGAGGACGCAAGGCCCGTGAAGCGCGGTAGCCAGGGGCCTGGCCCAGAGCGCTCAGCACACGCCAGTTGTGTGTCGCGCGTTTCCTGGGGTTGCCGCCTTCACCGTCCGGTTCCCGGGAAGCCGGGTCCCGGCTGGCGCGATCGTCGCCTTAACGTGGAAGAGGCTGTTTTCTGTAGACGGGTGCTGAGCGGATCCTTGGGCGCTTTCCGCCAAACTGATCCCAAACCGGAGGCTCCTGATAGAGGTGGTTATGGAGGTTGCGCATGAAAATAGGCGGGAGGAGGGAGCAAATGCTAACTCAGATGGAGCTTTAATTTGTTCGTGTATCTCCACGTTGCAGATTAGAAAGGCAGTGGAGGCTCTGTTGGCACATTCCAAGTCCAGGAAAAACGCGAATGGATTGCTCCTCAATGAGAATGAGAATTTCTTTCTAATGGTGGTGTTATGGAAAATCCCAAGTAAAGAACTGAGGGTCCGATTGTAAGTTCTGATTTTCTGCCTTTCCCTTCTTATCGTCGTGCTCGTTCTGTGTAGCTTTAACAGTTGCCCTTATGTTTCTAGTGGACACTTTGCAAATTCAAAATAAAAATATGAGTTGGAATATATAATTGTGCCTTTAAAAAAAAAAAAAATTCAGGGGCGCCTGGGTGGCTTAGTCGGTTAAGCGTCCGACTTTCGCTTAGGTCATGATCTCGAGGTTCGTGGGTTCGAGCCCCGCGTCGGGCTCTGTGCTGACTGCCAGCTCAGAGCCTGGAGCCTGTTTCAGTCTGTGACTCCCTCTCTCTCTGACCCTCCCCTGCTCACGCTGTCTCCCTCTCTCTCTCTCTCTCTCTCTCTCTCTCTCTCTCCTAGAAATAAATAAAACATTAAAAAATAATAATAAAAAAAAATTCAGACATGCTTAAATTACCTAAAAACGTCACCAGTGTTCTGGGGACTGATGGACAGCTCTGTTGAATCTGAAACCTGGGCTTCGAATAAATTAGGACAGCTTTTGTATTTGTACAGAGTCTGTCATCTTTCGGTGTTATGCTAGTTACAAGCTAACCTCCTGAGGTCCCTGACTCGCTCCTTCATACACAGATGATTACAGACTTGGCAGTGAGCTCCTTCTGAAAAACAAATCCATGGCGATCACATCTTCTTATTGCTCTAGGACTCTTAGGTCAGAGATGCCTTCTCTGCAAAGTTGCCAGACTTAGCAAATAAAAATACAAGTAATTTTTTAGTATAAGTAGGTCCCATGTAATATTTGGGACATAATTATACTTGAAAAACAAAATGAACACGCGCTGTATTCTTTTTTTTTTTTTTTCTAGGAGAGAGAGAGAGACAGCATGAGCAGGGGAGGGTCAGAGAGAGAGGGAGCCACAGACTGAAACAGGCTCCAGGCTCTGAGCTGGCAGTCAGCACAGAGCCCGATGCGGGGCTCGAACCCACGAACCGCGAAATCATGACCTCAGCGAAAGTCGGACGCTTAACGACCCAGCCACCCAGGCGTCCCAAACGCGCTGTATTCTGTCTGACACTCCTGCCTCTGTGGAATTCTTTTATCTCCTGGGTGTCCAGAAAAGCTGACTGAGCTGGGCACCTGGGTGGCGCTGTCGGTTAAGTGTCCAACTCTTGATCTCAGCTCAGGTCATGATCTCACAGTTCGTGGGTTTGAGCCCCACATCGGGCTCAGTGCTGATGTTACAGAGCTTGCTTGGGATTCTCTCTCCTCTCTGCTCCGACCGTGTTTTTTCTCTTTTTCTCTCTCTCAAAATAAATAAATAATTTTTTTAAAAAGCCACGTGTGTTAAAGAAAGTGTGTAGGATAGCTGGTTTCTTTTATGTTGCACCCCTCTTCCCAAGGAGGTGGCAAGAACGATTACAGATTGGAAAGACTTCTGAGTCCTCATACGCTCTATTACCTGGTGATCCCAAACCTGGCCCAGCCAGCCTGCCTTGGTCACTGTGTTAGATATCCTGCCTGCATTCTGTATTTCACATGTCTGCCCAGGTGGTTTCTTCTTTCTGGAAAGCCCTGTTGCCTTCTCTAGGATATTTTCCCAACTACTCACCTCATGATGATTTCTGCTCCTTACCAGCTTTGGATCACTTCCCATCTTGTTTGACAAGCCCCTCAGGATCGCCGTCTTTTTTTTTTTTTTTTTTTTAATTGAGAGAGCAGGAGTGAGGGAGGGGCAGAGAGAGAGGGAGACACAAAATCTGAAGCTGTCAGCACAGAGCCTGATGCGGGGCTTGAACCCACGAGCCGCGAGATCATGACCTGAGCCTAAGTCGGACACTTAACCGACTGAGCCACCCAGGCGCCCCTTGTGATCACCTCTTAAACTAAGGAAACATTTCCTCCAAACACATAGGCTGAGGAAATGAGCTAAACCCTTTTCTTGTCTTAAGAGTCAACTATAACAACATTTGTTTGCTGGTCCCTGTTTCTTTGCTGCACGCGTTTTCTATTCAGCTTTTCTTTTTAAGCTTATTTATTTTGAAAGAGAGAGAACAGGGGAAGGGCAGAGAGAGAGGGAGAGAGATAATCCCAAGCAGGCTCGGTACTGAAATCGACAAGGGGTTCAATCTCACAAATCATGAGATCAGACCTGACCTGAGAGACGAGTCAGTTGCTCAACCAACGGAGCCACCCAGGCGCCCCTTCTGTTCAGCTCTTAAGAGTTACTTTGCTTTTAGAGCCCAGGGTTTTATGCAGGGGACAGTTCCGAACCCAACTATCCTCCTGAAACCAGGGTGGTCACGGATAGTTCATAGGCACATAGAGCAGCATATAAAGTAATTGTAGCTGCATGTGGACTCTTCAGGGTATCATTGATTATAGTTAAGTCTAGTTCTATCCCAAATATTAATTGAGAGTCCAACTCTCAATATGATGATTTACTTGAATCTTAAAATCTGTCCATACCATTGAACACTAGATGTATTTTTAAATGTTCTTGGTAGAGTATTTGCCTACGTAGCATGAATGAGGTTTGTTGAAGTGACTGAATTTATTGTGTTATTGGAGTAGAAACATAGATTTTGTCTGTTTTAATGCTTGACTTCTCAATTCCTTCTCCTGTGTTTTGCAGGTCCTTGCCTCATGGTATTCGATCAGATTTAACAGATATTTGCTTACTTACCAAGGATGAACCCAATTTAACTCCTGAAAAGACAGAGCAGTTTTACAAGAAGCTTTTGAACAAACATGGAATTAAAACGATTTCTCAGGTCAGGAGCGGGTGATATTTACAGGACACTTAAAAGACCTGATTTACTCTTTTTTTTTTTTTTTTTTTAATGTTTTTTTTTTTTTTAATGTTTTATTTTTTTTCTGGAGAGAGAGAGAGCTGGCAGTCAGCACAGAGCCCGACGCGGGGCTCGAACCCACGAACCGCGAGATCATGACCTAAGCGAAAGTCGGACGCTTAACCGACTAACCAGGCGCTTAACCAGGCGCCCCCTGATTTACTCTTTTGACCAAAGTGATAGATAATACATTCCTGTACTACCTTGTAATAGTAGTTCTTTCCTAGGGATTTTTTTTTTTTTTTTTTTTTTTTTTTTTTTTTTTTTTTTTTTTTTTTTTTTTTTTTTTTTTTTTAAGGATTTGGTCTTAAGTAATTTGTGTACCCAACCTGAGGCTTGAACCTGTAACCCCGAGATCAGGAGTGGCCTGCTCCACTGATGGAGCCAGCCAGGCGCCCCTAGGAATTTAAATTTTAATTTAATTTTTTTTTTTTTAATTCTCATTGGCTTTAGTAGAGCATATCCTATCTTCTCTATGATGGATGGGCTGTTAAAGTTTCTTGACCCCAGAAGCCAGCATGTACAGCAGTACCTTTTTTCTTTTTTTTTTTTGAGAGAGAGAGAGGCAGACTGCAAGTGGGGGAGGGGCAGAGAGAGAGGGAGACACAGAATCCAAAGCAGGCTCTGGGCTCCAAGCAGCCAGCACAGAGCCCATAGGGCTCGAACCCACGAACCAGGAGATTATGACCTGAGCCGGTCAGACGCTCAACCGACTGAGCCGCCCAGGCGTCCCCAGCAGGACCTTTTATATCTTGAAGACGTCACAGAAGATTGCCCCATTAGGTCGTCGTCTGCCCTTCGGGAACGTCCCGGGTTTGCCTCGGACTTGGCGCTTCCAGGCATGGTTTACAATCCTCGGTGCCCTTGCTTGAGCTGGGTCCCTGGCTCCCTCCAGCGGCGGGCACGGCGCCCGGCACACCGCAGGCTCCCTGCGTGGCTGCTGCCCTGTGGCCCTACGGCAATGAAAGACTCAGACGCACGGTCTTGCTCGAGGGTTTCTTCCTGTTCGAGTTCTTAACTTGCCATGTTTTTCGTTCTCCTCGTGTTTCTAGATCATCCCTCTCCGAACTTTAAAGACAGAATACAAGGCCTATGAAGCCAAGCTTCGCCTCTTGGGCAGCTTCGACTTCTTCCTCACCGACGCGCGGATCCGGCGGCTCTTACCGTCCCACCTGGGGAGGCACTTCTACCACAGAAAGAAGTAGGTTTCCTCGCAGCCACCGAAGCTGAGCCCCGGGAGCGCCCTGGGTGCATGGACATTGTGCTCTGAGCGCCTGTGTGTCGTTACAGAGTTCCGGTACCGGTGAACCTTCTGGCCAAGAATTTGTCCAGGGAGATCAATAACTGTATAGGCGGAACTATCTTGAACATCTCGAAAAGCGGTTCTTGCAGGTAGGGAGAAGGTGTTCGCGTGTGCCTGTGTTTAGTCTGTGTTCAGTCGATGATAGTCCTGTAAGCTCTTCTTTACGAGATTGTGTGAAGGAAAACTACAGCCTTCTATCGAAAGTTAAGTCCATCCCTCAGAAGTATTTAAGTCTTTAGAAGCGCCCGCCCCATAGAGCTTTCCAGTGATGCAAATGGTCTATATCAGTGTTCTCTATGTAGGAGTGAGAGTGTTCAGAATAGAGAGAGAATCACAAGCAGGCTTCGCGCTGTCGGTGCAGAGCCTGACCCAGGGCTCAGAGTCCTGAACTGTGAGCTCATGAGCCCAAATGCAGAGTCAAACGCTTAACTGAGCCACCCAGGTGCCCCCCACCCCGCTTTTAAAAAGTTTCACTTTTATTTTAAAAATTACTTATGTAATATTTTTGGAAAGAGCGTGCGCACCCACATGCACAAGCCAGAGAGGAAGAGAGAAGTGGCAAGGAGGCTCTGGGCTGTCAGTGCAGGGCCTGACACAGGGTTCAAACTCACCAACTATGAGATCTTGACCTGAGCCTAAACCAAGAGTCAGACGCTTAACTAACTGAGCCCCCCAGGTAACCTTAAATTAATTTCTGTTTATTTATTTTGAGAGAGAGCATGCACATGTGCACACAAGCACGGGCGGGGGCAGAGAGAGAGAGATCAAGAGAGAATAAAAAAATCTGTTGAAACACTAAAGATTTTCATGTTTCTAAATTTTTTAATGTTTCTTAATTTTTTTTAGGATTGTGTATTTAGATTTCTCACATACCTGCTTGTGCTGCATTTTGAAAAACAAAGTTTTTAAATATTTTTTTTAATGTTTATTTTTGAGAGAGAGACAGAGTGCATGTGGGGGAGGACGGAGAGAGGGAGACACAGAATCCAAAGCAGGCTCAAGGCTCTGAGCTGTCAGCACAGAGCCCAACACGGGGCTTGAACCCACGAACAGTGAGATCATGACCTGAGCCGAAGTCGGATGCTTAACCGAATGAGCCACCCAGATGCCCCAAAACACAAATCATTATTATTATTATTATTATTATTATTTTGACCAATTTTTCCTAAAAGTTGTCTTGTCTGACGCTGTGTTACATTTCAGCACGATCCGCGTCGGTCACACTGGGATGGAGGTTCAGCACATCATTGACAATATCATCACCGTCACCAAGAGGCTTTCACAGAAGCTGCCAGAGGTGCGGGCTCCCAGCTGCAGCAGCCGGTGGTTGGCGCGGGGGACACGGACCGGGGACCGATCGTGTCGCTCTTGTCTCTGTTGCAGAAGTGGGAGAGCGTGAAGCTCCTGTATGTGAAGACCGAGCGCTCGGCTTCCCTTCCCATCTTCTCCTCGTTCGTCAGCTGTCAGGGTGAGGCCAGAGGCGTCCGCACCCCCGGCCAGAAGAAGAAGGTGAGTCAAACTGTAAACACCAAGTGGGCTTAATCACGCGGATCCGCGGCCCCAGGAGAGGAGCGGGTTCCGTTCCCGCCCGGCCTTCAGCGGTGCCCGCTGCTTGTGCTTTAGGCGCCTTGTCTCCGCTCTACCCACGACATGAGTTCGTGGCGTGAACGAAGTGCGCTCAGGTCTAATGTAAATGGCTGGTGTCCATCGATCGTTTTTGATTTCTCTGAGGCGGGCTGAGGAGGTTCGGTGGCGGCCTGCGCGGCGGCAGGAGGAGCTGAAAGAAAACCCAGGTCGCGCGGGTTAGCCTTTCTGTGGGCGGCGTTTGCGATTGTGCGGGGCGAACAGTTACCTCTCCGTTTGGGTTCGTAGGCTCTGCGTGCTGTAGGTAGGACGAGGGAAAATTCAGGTTATTCTGCTGTTTCTTAGCACAGTCTCCTAGGTTGGTGACGCTTTTTTTTTTTTTAGCCACGTTAATCGTGGTCAGTGGGTTTTTCATTTTGGTCTTTTGATTTTCTCCCCCCGCTTCTAGAAGTTGCATGTTCTTTTCCGCACCGGCTCTCCTTTCTCCAGTTCCGTGTTACTGGTGAGCCTCCCGTTCGCCTTAGTTCTTGGAGCACGTTAGGCGCGCTTGCTTCGCGGCCTCCCCGTCCGAGCACCGGACGGCCTGTGCCCCAGCCCGTTCTGTGTGCCCGCTGGTTCCGTTTCAGTCTGCTGGGCGCCTCGGGGCCCCTGGCCCGGGACTCCCCAAAAGCAGATCAAAGGCTTGAGATTCCCTGAGTGATTCAGAGCAAAGCGTGCCGAGAATCTGCACACCTCCAGTCCTGTTCATCTTCACCCCGAGAGCGTGACTCTGGGGTCCCAGCTTAGGGGGGTGCAGTTCCTCTTAGGACCCCTGCCTGGTGTGGACTCTGGACTTTGATTTCTCTCCAGCCATCCCACCCCCTGTTAAAGCAGAAGTTAGCCATCAGCAAATACTCGGGGCAGAATTTGCTTCTGGGCTCGCTCACCCACGGTCCGTGTGTCTTACAGGTAGTCGGCTCAGTGATGCCTTTAAGGAAAAAAGTTGTTTTAATATTTCACCCCACTCTTACTTGTTTTCATTGGGAGGATGGTCCGAAATAACAGACTACCATTATCAGTAGTGAGAAATCTGAATTTTTTTGCCATCTGTTGGAATGTGCATTTGAAGATTTTGTGAAAATGTTGGAATTGTTGGCTAAGACAGAATTTACACATTATTATGGGTGTCATTTAACACATCCGGACAGTGGTGAGGACAGTGGACCTCCCGGTCTGTAAACTTCTTAATCTTCTAACTGCAGCCACCGTCTGAAGGAGGGGAAATTGCCAGGTTTTTTTTTTTTCTTAAACTGTTCTGAGATGTATTTACATCAGAATACTCTACAGTTTAGGGTAATTCTTTTTTTTTTTCTTTTTAGCTATTTTATTTTTTTAATTTTTATTTGCAAGAGAGAAAAGGGGTATGTGTGTACAGAAGCTGGGGGGGGGCGCGGATGAGGAGGAGTTGAGCAGAGCCCAACACAGGGCTGGACCCCACGCCCCTGGCATCACGACCTGAGCCAAAATCGAGTTGGACACTCGACACTCAGCTGCCTGAGCCACCCAGGCGCCCCTAGGGTAATTCTTACTCACCTACAACTTTCAGAAGCTGAGACTGCAGCCTTGCAGAACCCTCCGGGGTTCACCACACCGCGTGCCTCTTTGCCTGAGTCAGAACCACAGTGGAGTTGAGGTCCAGGTGCTGGCAGTGGTGTGGTTTGTTTGCTTAGAATTGGTACAGACCAAGGCACTTTCCAGAAGCTTGCGAATAATCGGAAATGCACGTGCTAAATCTGTGCCAGTTATTTACCTGCAAGTGTATTCCCAACTAAAGGTATGCTTGGGGCTTTGTGTGGCTTTTTTGTTTTGAATTTTTTGTTTTGTTTTTTGGTAGGAATTAAGGAAAAAACAAAAGCAGAAAGAGTATCGTGAAAAACAGAAAGGGAAGAAAAGAAACAAAAGGCTTACGAAGCGGGCCAGGAAGGCTGCATCGGCCCCGAAGGAGGAAGCGAGCCCCGGCACTAGTGCGCCCGCGAAGGACCCCGCGCCCCGGAGGGAGGAGACCCAAGCGTGTGGGAAGAAGGAGAGCAGACGAGCAAAGGCCCGGAGCAGAGTGCAGGACGAATTGGAAGAGGAGATCCCTGTGCTGGTGCCAATAGAGGAGAGTCCAGCGAAAGAAAACGGAGAGGTATCCTTACTGTGCTCGGGATGGGTGGCCTCGGCGTCCCTGTGTGTCAGGCAGGCCCTGCTGAGTGGCGCGGGGACGGAGGCGTTGTTTGTCCCGAGTGCATTTCAGGCAGAATCTGTCGTAGCAAAGATCCCAAAGTAAGAGATGGAAACTACCGGCTAGACCCAGAAGCCCTGAGGTACCTCCTTTGCCTAGATCGGGGTGATGTGGGGTGATGTGTGGCCCCGTAGTGCGTCTTACAGTCAGGGGCTGTGGTCACGCTAGCAGTCCTAGGACACCTCACCTGTGGCTGTAAAATGCAAGCCCGGGCACACCTGGGGGCAGTGGTTCAGTTTCTGCCAGTGAGTCCCGGGTCCGCACGTAGTCAGGCCTAGGAAATGTACCAGGGCAGGCGTGGGTGCTGGGTCCTGCCCGTAAAACCTTTCAGACACCCCGCCCCCTGGGCTCCTGCAGTCCGACTTCGTGGGTGTCACAGGAGATCATGGAAAGGAACTGAGTTTTTGGTTTGTTTGTTTGTTTATTTTTTAATGTTTTTTATTTACTTTTTTGAGAGATGGAGACAGACAGTGAACAGGGGAGGATCAGAGAGAGGGAGACACAGTCAAGCAGGCTCCAGGCTCTGAGCTGTCAGCACAGAGCCCGACACGGGGCTTGAACCCACGAACTGTAAGATCATGACCTGAGCCGAAGTCTGACGCTTAACTGATTGAGCCACCCAGGCACCCTGGAACTGAGTTCTTTAACACTGGTTCTTGGGTGAAGCTTTTTCTCGTACTCACAGCGTCCATCCAGCTGCTAGGAGAGGGGGCAGACCGTGAGGGGGGGAGACTGGAGGGCACAGAAAAGACGCTGGGGGCCTCTGGGCTCAGCCTGTCCGTACCTTGCGCCCGTGCGGTCCTCTACAGGGGAGGCAGTGCCCAGGGCTGGCTCTGCACTGGCCTGTTCTTCAGTGGGGTTAGGATCCCCTTTCCCGGGGAGTGCATCCCTCTGTGTCCCCAGCTGCTACGGAGTTTGCCTCTGGGTTTTTGAATCTGCTCTAAGTCAATGTGAGTGATCGCTACGTGAGCTGTAAACGTGTCGTTGTTTTTAGAAAAAGCACACTCTTTTCGTCCTGACGGGATAGCAGTCGGTCGTGGTGCGTGGGAAACAAGGGCTCCGCGTAGCCTGCTGGGCGGTGTGTTCGCCACAAGTGTCTCTGCCCTTTGACCCCATCTAGGAAAGGGTCGGGGTGACGAGCTGTAAGCGTTTCCTGTTGTTCACTGCAGACACGAATGGGGAAACGTCCTGTTCCCCCTCCAGCAGTCTCTGTAAAGTCGTCCGGAATCTCGGGCAGTAAGGACGCGTTCGCGGCGCCCTGGCAAGAGTCACGACGTAATGGGGAAAGCGCGAGGCGGCTGCTTTGCGGTGCACGCACCGCACACTCGTCCGGGGCGGGGAGCGAACAGGTCGTCACTGCCGTGGCTGCGGCTCCCGGAGAATCTGTTTCTTACCGTCTTTCTGCTTTCCACGTCTCCCAGAATAGTCCTATCGGTTTATATTTACTGACAGGAAAGGCGTGCCTCCTGGCGCGCACCCCCTCCCCTGCCGAGCCCCTCCGCCTGCCTCGGGAAGCAGGCGTCCCTGACGCACCCAGTTTGGGAGCGTCCCGTTGACCCCCAGCGAGAAAGGTGGGGCAGAGTCCCCGCCTCGGCCAGAGTGAGAGTCAGAGTCTCCTGTGGGCCAGGGAGAGCAGCGGGGTCCTGGCCACTGTCCGTAACGACCGAGCACGCTTGCCCTTCAGCATGGCCGAGCGGCGGGAGGCAAAGCCCCGGCGCTCGTCTCGGCTTCCCCAGGGCCAGCGGTCAAGACGGTGCCTCTCGGCGTTAGGTGGCCGGGGCTGCCTCTCCTTGGACCTGACGCTCCTCTTTTCCTCAGGTGCAGAAACTCGCCACAGGAGAGAAGCCTCCGAAGAAGAGCCGCGGTCCTAGCGCGCCTCGCGGGAAGAAGAGAAAGGCCTCGCCCGGCTTGGAGACCCCACAGGCCGCAGGGCCCAAGGCCCCGGGAAAGAGCCCGGGCAAGAAGCCGAGACTCAGAGGAGAGGCGGGAAAGGAACGAAGCTCTTCGCTGGGGAAAAAAGACCCAAGACAGATGACCAAAAAGCCAGGGGCCAAGGTCTTTGCTACTCCCAGTAAATCCGCGAAGAAAGCCCCCCACACCCCCAAACAGTGTCCCAAAAAGCCCCGAGTGCCCCAGTCGACCTAAAAGATCAGAGACTCTAGCAGAAGGAGTCATCCAGACTCCTAAAACGTGGTCGGCTCCCGGCCCTACCCAGGACGGCCCCTCCGGAGCGAGGCCCAGGCTTCAACACCGGATTAATCCTCCAGTCCTCTGCAGGCAATTCTGACGAGTGTCTGTGGGCGTCAGAACCAGTCGTTGTGAAGTAAAGCCGTTTTTTAAGTTGCTTTTCCGTGTGTGTGCTGACGTAACGGGGAAAATACAGTGCTTCTCTGTGGACGTTGTTAAAGCGGAGCGTTGGCTTCTGCGTACACCCTGGACGTTCCCTGTCCTGATGGTTTCACGTGAATCCCTACAATGTGACCCCTATCCCCAGCCACTGTCACCGTCCGTGTCACCTAGGCTCCGTTACCCTGGTTTGTGCAAACCTTCCTGGAGCTTGTCTGCGGGCCAGGGATGGGCTTGCTGCCTGGCACTCCCCTGTGGAACATACGAGAGGCCCTCGGTGGGTTTTGGAATCAAATCGTTGATTTTGGTGGTGGTCAGCCCAGGCTGTGGGCCGCTGAGGGGCGTGTGTTGGGTGAAGTTGGGCACGTTCTGAGACAGTCGGTGACTTTTCAGGTGCTTGGCCCTTTCCCCGCGATGTGAGTGGGGGTCCCCGTCCCTAGCGGTAGGCGATGGAGTCACCATCCTACAGGAAAGGCCAAAGTGAGGTGTGCGGTCAGAGATCACGTGGTTCAGAAACCAGTCTGCTTCCAGACGGACGGCCGTCCATCAAGTTAGAGGAGCAAGAGCATTTGCTTTTTAGTGCCCCAGATCAAGTCGTAACCTTAACTTTTTACATCCTGAAATCGGGGCGCCTGGGTGGCTCAGTCGGTTAAGCGTCCGACTTCAGCCCAGGTCCTGATCTCACAGTTTGAGGGTTCGAGCCCGGAGTCAGACTCTGTGCTGACAGCTCAGAGCCCGGAGCCTGCTTCAGATTCTGTGTCTCCCTCTCTGACCCTCCCCTGCTCACGCAGTCTCTCTCTCTCAAAAATAAATAAAAAACTTAAAAAATTTTTAATAAAAATAAAGTAAAATACTAAAATCCTCTAAAGTGACAGAATTTTGTCATCCCGCTATCCTTGTAGGTTATCAAGTACACCTTTCACAGAAAGGATTAGCAGAATTGATTTGAACTTTCCACAGAAACGACGTGCCGTGGGAACACGGCCAGCCTTGCATCACACGCAGAAGAAGGTGAAGTACGTCTGCAGTACGTAATCACGTGCGCCACCCCGCTCGTGTCTACCTGACGTGATGGGGGAGGGGGTCGTGTCCGGGTTTTTAATCCCACCCTCCAGCCACTGAAGAGGCTGTGACACCAAGCGATTTCTCTGGTCTGTGGCTGCGTCGTGATGGGAAGGAGTCACTCGGGAGTTAGGTTGAAAACGGCAGATTTATTTAAACTTCTTAAGCAGGGTGCCCATTTTTGGACAACGGAAAGCTGCGGCTGGGGAATGGGTGGAAATGCTGAATTGCAACAAGGCGCGAGTCACGCTACTAGGTCTCCGAGGCTTGGGCGCGGTCCCAGCTGGCCGGTGGGGCTGCGACCTGGGGCCGAGAGGAGTATGGGAAGCCGCTGCCATAGTGAGTCACGCTCTTGGGGTTAAGAGGGTGGGTGTGTGGCTCGTGTTTTACTGGAAGTCCGTGCTGGGTGTTCTGGACCCGTCCTCCATGCCATGGAGATTCAAGGGTTAAAACCAGGTCTGGTGGCGGAAACTTCATGCAACCTTTCTGAAGAAATATTTGAATTTTGGTTAAATTTTTTTTTTTTAGGAACTGTAATAGGCATTTAAGTTTATTTATTTTTAGAGATAAAATCCCAAGCAGGCTCTGTGCTATCAGCCCCGGAGTGGGGCTCAAACTCACAAACTGTGAGATCATGACCTGAGCCAAAATCAAGAGTCAGATGCTTAAACGACTGAGCCACCCAGGCACCACCACCACCCCCAAACCCCCGCCAAAATTAAATGTTTTGAATGTATTTAAGACGGTCTAGGTGTTTAGTAAAGATCACGTATTTCATAGTCCCCTTGAGAAATATTAAAAATGAGGGACCAGGGGCGCCTGGGTGGCTTAGTCGGTTAAGCGTCCGACTTTCGCTCAGGTCATGATCTCGCGGTTCGTGGGTTCGAGCCCTGCGTCGGGCTCTGTGCTGACTGCCAGCTCAGAGCCTGGAGCCTGTTTCAGTCTGTGACTCCCTCTCTCTCGGACCCTCCCCTGCTCACGCTGTCTCTCTCTCTCTCCCTCTCCAAAAAAAAAATAAAAAAAAAAAAAAAAATGAGGGACCAAAGGAATTGGCAGAGGCCTGCTGTCTCATTACCAGACCGCAGGCCCTCGCTCTAGCTCCAATTCACAGGTGTTTCAAGGTTTAAACAGCCAGGAAAGATTTGACCATTTTACTAAATATTTGAAGGTTCTGCACCACCCACATTTCTTTCTCCTTAAATTGCTGCTGTTTGCCCGCGTTCCTGTGAACAGCACCAAGGTCCTCACTAGAAGTTTATAAACCCTAAGAGCCCTCATCAGGCCTTGGTCTTGAAGGAATTAATATATGTGATGAAGGAGCGCAAATACGATTCAGGTTATAGTGGTGGCTTCAGGATGACAGTCTTGGAGAGAAAATGACAAACTAGGTGGTTATATTTAACCACAGATTCTACGTTTTTGTCCAAAACTGTCTTAAAAGGATTAACATCTGGGGGCGCCTGGGTGGCTCAGCTGGTTAAGCAACTGATTCTTGGTTTTGGCTCAGGTCATGATCTCCTGGTTTCATGAGTTCAAGCCCCACGTCGGGCTCTGTGCTGATGGTGCCAAATAAGCTTGAAATTCCTCTCTCTCCCTCTCTCTCTGTCCCTCCCCTGAGTGGTCTCTGTATCTCTCTCAAAATAAATAAAAACAGGATTAACGTCTGTTTAACTCAATTGGGGGCATTTTCTATACTTGAAATATATAGGAAGTAATCGGCATATGTATACTTTTGAGTCCCCTAAAAACCTGGCTCTTAAGCCTTTCACAAGAAACTAGCTGATAATGTGAATTCAATCTCCACCTTTTAGGTGCAGATCTCCCATAAAATCTGTTTCTCCAGTGTACCCAAGCTCATGATGGCAGAGTCAGAAACTCCACTGAACTTGGCCATTTAACTGCCAAGTTACATTGGTGTTCATTTCCCTCATTGAGCCACTCGCTCATCTACCTGTCCTTTAACCAGTAAGTTCCTACAACCTGCTGGCTGTGGGGCTGGGCTTGAGAAACCAATGCGTAAAGAAAGCACAGCTTTAAACTTCCAGGAGAGCCCTAGCCTAGTTTGTGATGGCCCCAGAATTTAGGAATAGGGGTAGTTCGTCTGCAAGGAGGCGGTTCCAGAGGCTCGGGAACCTGCAATCTGCCCATAGCTGTGTTTTAAGCTTAGAATATGTGTGTTTGGAGGGAGATGTTAATGGAGACCTCAGGAGGGAGCTAGGAGACTACACAGAGAGACCAGTGGCACAGAATAGAGAGTCCAGAAAATAACCCCTTACTTGTATGCTCAACTGATTGACAAGGCCGTCGGGACAATTCAATGGGGAAAAGACTAATGGCAACTAACGGCACTGGGGCATCTGGGCATCTAGATGTAAAAGAAGGATCCTTATCCAACACTATACACAAATAATTCAAAATGGACCGTAGAATTAAATACAAGAGCTTAAATGCCTGGAAGCGAACACAGGAATAAATCTTGATGACCTGGGAAAAGGCCACATTTTCTTAGCTATGACACCTTAACACAAGTGACCCAAAAAGTGGAGAAATGAGTTCATCCGTATTTCAATCTTTGTGTAGGGGCACCTGGCTGGCTCGGTTGGTTAGGCATCTGACTTAATCAGGTCATGATCTCGCCGTTTGTGAGTCCGAGCCCCATGTCGGGCTGTGCGCTGACAGCTCAGAGCCCGGAGCCTGCTTCAGATTCTGTGCGTCTTTCTCTCTGCCCCTCCCCTGCTCACACTCTGTATCTTTCTCTCTCAAAAATAAATGGAAACATTAAAAATTTTTAAAAACACGAAACTTTGTGCTTCACAAAAAAGTGAAAAACAACCTACAGAATGGGGGGATATTCACCAATCTCATGCCTGATGGGGAACTTGTATTAAGAAAGTATGAAGAATTCTTAACAAGGGGCACCTGGCTGGCTCAGTGGGTAGAGCATGTGACTCCTGATCTTGGGGTCATGAGTTCAAGCTCCACTTTGGGTGTAGAGCTTACAAAAACAACAACAAAAAACCCAAATGAACAATACTCTTAAAACTCCATAATAAAAAGACAACTCAGTTTTTAAAATGAACAAACTGGGGGTGCTGGGTGGCTGAATGGTTAAACGTCTGACCCTTGATTTTGGCTCAGGTCATGATCTCACAGTGTGTGGGATCAAGTCCCACATCGGGCTCCACACTGACAGTGGGGAGCCTGCTTGCGATTCTCTCTCCCTTTCTCTCTCTCTGCCCTTCCCCCACTCATGCTCCCTCCTTTCTCTCTCTAAATAAATAAACTTAAAAAAACACAAAAGACATTAACAAGATGGATGTAGAAAAACTCGGGGTGGGGGACAGGGAAATGGGCAAAATAGGTGAAGGAGGATTAAGAGATAGGAACCTCCAGCTGTGACATAAATCAATCAGGGGTATGAAAAGTACGGTGTAGCGAATAGAGTCAGGAACCCTGTAATAATGGTGTCTGGTGGCAGGTGGGAGCTACAGTTACCATCACGGTCCTAGCTTCCGTAGAGAAGTGTCAGATCACACCCGAAGCTAACACAACGTTGTCAGCTACAATTTCTTTTATTTTATTTTTTTACATTTATTTATTTCTGAGAGAGCATGAGTGGAGGAGAGGCAGAGAGAGAAGGAGACAGAATTGGAAGCAGGCTTCAGGCTCTGAGCAAACATTCAGCACAGAGCCTGACGCGGGGCTCGAACTCACGAACCGTGAGGTCATGACCTGAGCCAAAGTCGGACACTTAACCGACTGATTAAGGCCCCTGCAATTTCTTTTAAAATTACTTAATCCACGCTTGTTAGAGCAGCGCCTGATGCCTACAAAATGCCCAATAAACACAGGTCAATTCACTGAAAAACTACACAGTTATTACAAATGATACAGAGAAACACAGGAGTAAATGAACATGGAAATGAATCAACATGGT